GTTAGGACTGTTAAAGTTCCTCTGAAATGCTGGGAGACTCAGTCCTTGGTCTCACCCGACCCCTCCATTGGCTCTTTGGTTCTGATGATGTTCTCTGTCAAATCACCTTAAATAGGGAAAATTAACTGGGGTTCATTCATCAGCCTGCATTTGCTGCTAGCAGCATGGTGTATCTCCATTACCAATGGCTAAATGGTTCTGTGGTTCAGACGCGACTGCTGAGACTCAGAAACAAGAAGGGTAATGAAGAGATCAAGATAAATGTTTCACCACCTCATAATTTGGGGTTCTTACTCAAATCAAAATGACTACAGTTGTTATTATTTTGGTTTTCTTTTTATGATTCTCACCTTTCTTGTCTTCCTTTCCCTAGTCAATAGGAGATAGCCCCAGATACCTATTTGGTTCCTATAATTAAAGCAGATCTATTTTCTTTTCAGTCCTAAAAAGGACGAGTGATTTGTGAAATGGGATTTTGTATCCAATAAATGAGAATTTATAATTGAGGAAACAGCATAAATCTATCCATAATCAATTACAAATAAACTTTCAAATGCAATTAAACTCCATTTTTTATGTGTTCAGACTGACAGACTTCTGAGTATATCAAACTTATGTATAATTTTGTGTCAAAAACTTCATATTCTGCAAAAAGATGAAGATTTCCTGGAATTTATTCTCTGCTCAAAATTATTCTGTGAAATACATTTTTGATGTGAACCGCATTTATTCTTTTCATTGCTTTATTAAGATTACTCATGTATCACATGGCATCAGTTAATTCTGGGTGTGCTTCTCATCGTAATCCTCATGATTTGAGTGCAAGTATTTGTACAACAGTTATAAAACTTGCTTCTTGGTATTTCAGCTAAAAAGTTCGCTTTGCATCGGGGGCTGCTTTAGTACAAACTTAGTCAAAGGAACTTACACAAGGGACCACAGGGAAGAGAAAGGAAAAAAACAAACAAACAAAAAAAAATACAAAACCCAAACCCACCACACTACCAGGGCCAAAGCAAATGAGTTGCAAAATTTAAACCAATATTTGCTAGAAAATGTTTGCGGTGGTCACTCAGCCCTACTTCCAAGTCCCTTACAAAAGCCCTCAACGCTAGACTTTATGTTGCAGGTCTACCTAAATCTCACTCTGAAACTAGTCTGAAATTTCCCTTTTGCTACTGATACCCTTGCAACTGTGATAAAACTTCTGCTTTTGCCAATGCCTGTAAAGGGGATCCCATCATTTTCCTTCTTGTGACATTAAATACCACATTGCAGCCACCAACCACCACGTAGTTGAGCCAATATAGCTTTTACTTTTGACTTAACAAGTAGAAACACTCGTGCATGTACTTGGCTTTGGCTACATGTTCACCCAGCTAAATCTATTGATGGAGTCTGCAGGACCTGGAACAAACCTATTTTTAGATACCATAATCCTCAATATATTAATTATTTTTTACTCTTGCTCTTCCATATGCTGTCCTCCTCCTTTGTCTGCAATGACATCCACCTACATTACTCCCTGCAAATTTTAAAAACGGTTTACTCACAGCAGCTTGCAAAAATAACTAAAAATGTGAAAACATACGCAATACAGGCATAATACTTGTGGCTCCGATGTCAGGTACATAATTTACCCTTTGCCCTTCATTTCAAAAAATGTCACACTCTCTCCAAAAAAGCTTTAAAAATAACTAAGCACCAGGCCTCAAAAAAATTTTGTTGGAGCATCATACGTGGCTAAAAGAAAAGTTGGAATAAAGTTTGTAGTAAATCTTGATAAAGTTCTGCCATTTGGACTACAGCTAACAGCTTCTTTACTACTACTTTAGCACAATAAAACAGCATTAGTGTTACCATCTTGCTGAGGGTGGTAGAAAAAGACCATAAAACTGAATGGCACACTTAATATTACTTGCAAAACATTGTCTCTCTGAAAACAACACACAATAACTGTAATTAATACCAGTCTTTTAAAGTATTCCTAAAGTCTACTGAAATCTAAACCAGTATTGTATTGCTGGTAGCAACAACTGCATCCTAAGCAATATTATAAATGACAACAGAAAATAAAAATTCTCCATCGGAAGTAGGAAAATTACAATTCACTGATCTGCTGAATGGAACAACACCTTTGCCCTTATTATTTATAGAGCCTTTTGGGGAGGATCTCAGGACTTTACTCTTTAGCTAAGCCTCATAAGTTCAACAGCCCATGAGTTATATAAACATCATTTTACAGTTTGAACTATTCTCCCAGCAAAAAGATCACTCTAGGGGATGACGAGTTGAATTATTTCTTTTACAAAATTAATACTGCTTTATTCGTGCTTCCATCGCTTCAGAGTGAAGCCCACCCGAGCAGCTCCCGGCCTCGCTAGCTGTTCCAGGCACTTCAGAGGACAGTGGGGTGGAAAAAAAAAAAGGCTGCAGGCTACACCGCACCCAGTCTAGCAAGTCTTTTCAGGGAATATAAGTTTGGATAAAAGCTTGGGAAAAGGTCTTTAAACAGTAAGCAAGTGAATACGTACATACATAAAATCGGGTTGCAACCGGCAGAAAACGAGCGCACCCCGGCAGCGATGCTGCAACCGTGGGACGTGTGGCTTGTGCCCCGCTCCCGCCACGGCGGGGGGATGTTCCCGGTCGGATGGGGACCCCAAAACCCCACTCCCACCCCACCCCCCGCCGCGGGCAGCGCCCGGCTCCGCGCCCGCGGCGCACCGCGGGAGGATCTCCTCCACGCGCGGAGAGAGAGCAGCGCGTCGTGTGGTGCGTTCCCCGAGAAAAGAGGGAGAAGCCCCGCGCCCCCCATTCCGCCGGCGGTTATCGGGGCTCGGCTTTGCAGGTTTTTGGCCCGGGGGAGGCGGGGGGAGATGTTCGAGGGGGCCCCGCGGCGCGACCGGCATCCGAGCGGGTTTTTAAAGGCGCACGGTGGTACCGAGAGAGGCGGCTGCTCCGTACCGGCGGCACCGGCATCCCCCGGAGCATCCAGCCGCCCGTTCACGGCGGGAGGAGGCGGCCTCCAGCCCAGAGACCCCCCGCCGGGGCTCCCCGGGCTGGGGGCTGAGCCCCCCCCCCGGCCCCTCCGCCCGGCTCCGGCTGGGGACAAACACACTCGCAACAATGGGCATGTTTGCAGCAACATGATATCACCTAATAACGCCGAATAAGGCAATGACTGTACGTTGGAGCGATACGATCCTGCCGGTCTCACCACACGGCGCGGAAAGCTATTTGCAGATTTGCTAAGCCCTTTTGAATGAATGCATCTGCAGCTGACCTTTAACAATAGACGCTGAAATAGCACAATCTGTGGGACTAGATTTAGGGGTGGGGGGGCGGGGGGGGGGGGGGGAAGGAAGAGATGGGTGAATATTGTAATCTCTGCAATCTCCCTCACTTCCTTTCCCAAACCTCCGCACACAGCGGGGAAAAGCGCTATTTTCCTTTTCACCGGGGCTCTCTCCCTCTAAGGAGCCGTTTCCACCGCCGGCTCGGCCACATGGCACCCCCGAAAGCCGCCGCCGCCGGGACCGGGCGCGCAGCCCCGCCAGCACCCCGCGGAGGGGCGACTGCGACAAGGATGCTCCAGCCCCCCCCCCCCCCCCCCCCCCAACACACCACCCCCCCCTTTCTTTTTCTCTCCCTCCTTTCCCCTCCCCTCCCGCCGCTCTCTCACCTTCTCTGGCTTTCAGCAAAACGGTGTTGGCAACGATGTTTTCCAGCTCCATTGACGAGCTCGGGCAGCGTAGGCAGCGGCACTGCAGCAGGACGTCACTCCCGAGGTGCGGAGTCTCCGGGCGACCACCCGCCTCCTGCCCCTAGCGCCTTATCCCCCCGTGCATGATCCCTGCCTTCCTCCTCCCTCCTCTTCCTCCTCGCTCCCCCGGGCGGAGCCGGCGCTCCCCGCGCTATCTGCTCCCGCGGTGCCCCGCTCCGTTACTCCATCCTCCGCCCCGCGGGCTCCCCGGCGGTTTGAGGGCTGGGGCGCTCCTGCCTCCCTCCCCCGGGGGTGTGGCACCGCGGAGCGGCCCCGCAGCCCCGCGCAGGCGCCATCCCCGCCGCCGCCGCTCCGCGGGGCCGGGCACGCCGGGACGTGTAGTCCTGAGAGCCGGTCCTCCGCGGCCGCGCAGCCACCCCGCGGAGCAGGCGGCGGAGTCGACCGCCCGGGGCAAGGGCGCGGATAGGGGCGTGGGGTCACGGGCCGGCCTAGAGACGTCCCGGGGCGGGGGGGGAGAGGGAGGAGGGTTGGGCGCGGTGGGAGGCTGCGGGGCGATGCGCGGAGGGATGCGCGGGGTTCTCCGCGGCGCGGCCCCGACGGCAGCGGCTCAGCGCAGCGCTGGTGCCGGGCGCCACCCCGCGGCGGCGGCCCCGGGGCTCCCGGGGCTCCCCCGCACTCCCCTGCCCTGGTTCCTCAGGGCTCCCCAACCCTGTCCTGGTCCCTCGGGGCTCCCCCTGCCCGGCCCGGTGCCCCCGGGGCTCCCCGGCACTCCCCGCAGCGCAGGTTTTTGTGCTCATCCTCGCCTCCCAGGTGCTCACACCCGAGTGAAGGAGACCCCGACAACCGGCTGACTTCTTCATCCCCTGCCATGCGCTGCACACCCTTCTCCTCGGGCTGGAGAGATGGGCTGCTCACCTTTCTGGAGATGTTAGAAGTACCTGAGGGAATCCCGTCTTTTCTGCCATACCGTTTTGTTTGTTTCTTGTTTGTTTGTTTTTTAATCCTGGTAAGCAGTTGCATGAGACATCAGCCACTTGTGGAAAGTTTGTGAATTTTAAGCACTAGATTACAACATAAAATCTCTTCTGTCTATATAGGACAGATGCTCATGTCAGCATGATTGTTTTTTCCTGGCAACAGGGTAGGTAGACTGATTCAGCAGGTCAGGCAAAGAAAGAGGAATAAAAATGACCCATTACTCTCACTAACACTCTTCCCCCATCTATATTTGCACTGATTAAATCCACATGAAGTAAATCAAATTAACACGCACCTTCTTGTAAGTGGAGCATTGGCAATACTTTTTCTTTTTTCTTCTTTTTTTTTTTTTTTATTGTAGCAATCCTGTTTCTTTCTACAGCCAGGTAGAAATGACTTGCAATAGCAGAACTTGCACACTGTCTAGAACACATTGTCTGAACATGGGAAGTAAATGAGAAATGCATTCAGTGAATAATACCTTCAGCATTAGGATAAAATGGCTATAACAAATGCCTTTTGTACCTGATTATGTGTCAGGGGTTAGAACTTTGAAAGTTATTGTGCACAGCCAGTGGCACTGCTATGTACAATCTTCTACACATCTGCTCTCCTATTGCTTCAGAGAGTGTTCAGCCTCTGGCAGCCGTGCCATGTTGTTGTTACTTTCTTTGCAATGCCAAGTTCTATATAGCAGCAGTTGTGAGTACCAGAAGATTTTTCTCTGATTAAATAATTCTTAAGGGGAAAAATTGCTTCCTGGAAACCAGAGCCTTAGCACAGAGATGAGGTTCCTAAGGAGTGTCTGCCCTGCTTGCTGTTTGACCACTTGTGTGCAAGAACTGATGCTCGCTTATAAACAGAGCAAATTACACTCAGGTTATAAATGTATTTCACATCCCTGCCCAGCCTCCCACTAATGGTCATCACAAGGACAACACCAGCATCACAACATGGTTGATATGGGAAAACAAAGTTATACTTCCTATTACATACAATGTTTTTAATGCTACAAGAAACTCCCCTCTCCAAAGAAAAAATGAACACACGTGTCTTGGTCCCCGTTTTGTGAAGTATTACTCACTGCAGCAGCAAGCTCAACTTCTGCTGACAGCAGCTAGCTGTCGGTGTGCTTGCCACATTGTGGCAAGTGGAGGGATTTACCTTCCCGGGAGACTCTACAGAGCACTGACTGTATTTTTTTGTGTAACTTTTATACAGGTGCCCAAATGAAGAGGGAAAATCTTGAAGATCCTCAGTTTGAGATACACTTGGAAATCAGCATGTGAACCCGAGGGCTCTACCGCTCCTCTTTTATCTAATATCTATATGTACCTCTATACACTCAAGTGGTAGGCACACAGAGTCATCTGCAGTGTCACCCAGTGGGACAGAAGTATGACTCCAGCGTGCTGATGTTGTCTTGTATACTTTGTGAACATTTATTTAATTCTTGAAAGGGTAGATAGATTTATCAAAAGAGTTACAACAGATCTATAAGGTGTTTGGACATCCCGTGGAGCTACGTAGTGTTCATGAACGGCGCAGCTCTGAAGCACTGCACGTTCCTGGCACCCAAAGGCACAGTTCCACAGTCCCGTCAGAAGCAGGGGCAGCAAATGAACAGAGGGTTGTGCTGCTGCCAGGGTGGTTATTTCAACTAAGCTGGATGACTTTGCATTGAAGTGGACTAGGAACAGTCACATAACTTAAATGTGGCTGAGTGCCGGGAGCAGAAAGCTGAGCTCTGCTGCCAGGCCGCTGAGATTCTGCAATAATATGTTTGTCTTAGTTACACATCTACATGGAGGGCAGCAATTCTGACTTTATGTTTATCGATAAGAACAATGGAGTGGGTTTTCTTATTGATTCTTACAGTGTTTAACAAAATAAAACTTGTTTCCAATAAATCTTAGTCAATGTGGTGCACTAGGACACAGAAGAAGGTGTGCTCACGAGCATAATGCCCTACTTTGAAGAACAAAATCCAGACAGGGTCAGTCCTCACTGCCTCTCTCTTTTCTACTACGTTTTTTTAAGCCTGACTGATACATGACAAGGGTCTGCTTCAGCACAGGCCTCAGATGGATGGTCCCTTTTGTGAATGTGGATCCCCATGGAATGCCAGAGCAAGTGCCACTGCACAGACCTACTTGCCTCAAAGTCCATCAGCTGGTCTTTGTAAAACCCACTGCAGCATTTGGAGTCTTACCTCATGACTTCTTCATAGCTGTTGGTGGCTTCATTTTTGTGGAATGTAGGAAGAGGTAGATTTATTTATATCCATTTTCTCTTGTGATAACACAGTCCTTTAATTTCAAGGAATGTCCACACCTGATTTAATGGAGCTGTCAGGTTCTCTGTGAGTGAGAGAGCAAGAAACAGGAGACCTGTTAGTCTGTTCCACTGCTTATCTTATTCTATTCACTGTTGTAAACTCTAGTGCTGAATTATTCAAGCATGGACTCAAAGACAGGGTGGTAAGGAAGGAACACAGGTCTTTTTTTGCCGGTCTAAAGATCCCAATTCAGTGCTTGCTGGGAGAAAAGGGTAAATTTGGTGTACATCTTACGCAGAAGCAGCCAATTTTGAAAGGAAAAAACAAAAGAGAGGCTACCAAAACCCAGTTAAACTCTGAAAAAATGCTCCTTCTAAAGTGCTTAATATGTTTGGTTGTACTGCTTTTATTTAAAACATTATTTTCATTATTTTCATTTGAAGTCATTCAGGAAAGTCTCGGAAGAAAACCTTTCTGAGTGCTGAACATCAGGATAAGCCGGGCTGGCAGCCATCTTTCCTTTATGGGAAGAGAGAGGTTTGTAAATGAAACGCCAACACCGTGCGAGACACAAATGCATCAGTGTAATAAGAATAGGAAAGCAGCAAGGCAGAGTGTGATATTCTGAGCCACTCGAAGGGATGAGTCATCGGCAGGGTGGGCTCACGCAGCTCCAGCCAGAAACACAGCAGCAACACACCCAGTTTTATCCTGACACCAGAGAAAAACCCCTTGGCCTCAGTACAGCCTGCTTGAACTGTCAGGATAAGACCCTTGATGAACCAGATGTCAAAAAAGGTTTTTGCCTCTACTTACCAATCAGCAACATACCCTAAGAGCAGCTATGTCCTAAATCCATGTTATAATGCACAATTAATGCAGTAAAGCTTGTTCATGATTAGATTTAAGCTGGGCTGTGTTTGGAATTGCTTCTGAAACTTATTTCTACAAACGGGCAAATTCTTTCGCCTCCTGCTGAGGTTTGGCATCAGCAGGTGGGAGCACACAGGCCTATGAGAAAGCATTTGCAGGCAGCTGTAACCTCTCACAGAGCCCCTTTGCATAAGGACAGAGGCTGCCATCTACCAACAGCCACGGGGTGATGCATCATGTTGTCTAAACCAAACTTTTTGCTTTAGTTTAGATAAAAATATATATGCCTATGTTGTTTCTTTCCATTTCCAAACTTTTTTTTTTTTTTTTTTTTTTTCCCCCAGTTATCCAGTTATCTATTTCCTCAAGGTAGAGGACTAATGATTGTTACAGCATTTGAGCACATGGAATAAAACAACCTTCTAGAAGATGAGCAGACTTTATTTTATCGACAAGACCTACGTATCCTGTACTCTGCACAGAATCTGCCATTCAGTGACCCACAGCAGCAGATCTGCTTTGGGATTTTCTTACTCCTTTCACCAAGTTTGGAGAGAAGCAGCTACTTTTTCGCTGATATATTGTTGTGTTAATCATGATCTTTCAAAGAGCTCTTTAAAACCTAACTTTCACAAAACAATGATGGTAACAACACACAAGCATTATCTAACACTTTTTATCAACAGATCTCAATGTTTTTTACCAGAAAGGCATGTTTAATTATTCCTAGATAGGAAAAAAAAAAGAGGCACAAAGTGAAAGCAGGCAGATTAAGTATCCTAACCAAAAATAAAATTTACATCTCCAATTATCCATTCAAGTGCCTTAGCCACTGCTCTGCACCTTGTAACGATACAAACTTCTCCCTAAAGCCTGCTGAAATCCCTGGAGAGTCTTTCACCAATTTTAGATGTCTGAATTTGAGTCAGGCTTAAAGACTCTAATCTTTCACAAGTAAACATATCTGTGCACTGCTGAGCTCACGCTGCACCAGTATGAACCAGCACTCCCTCACTGCAGGATGAGATACAAGACTGGGGCCTGTCCAGCCAGGCAAAAGCCTGTGGGAGACAGCAAAGCAGGCAACCAACAATATTTGGAAAAAGATGCACATATGGTATCACTCGGTAGATTTATTTTGAACTTTGGATGGCAAGAAGAACAGGGTTTAGCAGCTGTTCTAGCCTGTGCCAGAGGCAGAGCTGAGGAAAAAGGAACCACTCTTCTGCCAGGTGCACTTTGGCAGTGACAATGTCCATCTTCAAATTGTAGGGATACCCAGTAAAAAGCAAAATGGAAAATAAACCCCCTGTTAAATGGCAGTAGTTCAAGCTCTTGCCCAGAAGTCTGAGAAGCTGAATTATGCTGCCTTCATAACAAAGCATGAGCAATATTTCCCCACCTGCAAGCCAAGTGTTTAAACAAAGAGTTTTAAACAAATATAACTTTCCGGGGAGGGGGGAAGGACATCGGTTTAGAATACATCAACTTAGAAGTTGTAAATAATCATCTGTGGGTGAGACAACCATCCTCAGGAAATCCTAGCAATAGCCCTTTTCTTGCTGCCACAATACAGCTCCCACAGCTGAGGGAAAGGAACTGCAGTGGCCCAGCCATCCCCGGGCACACAATTTGCTGCCCAGCCATGAGGAACTCAGCCGGGCAAGCACATCTCTCCATTCGAGGGGATGCGCCAGTCCGGCAGACGCGAACGCAGACGTGCCACTCTGCCCTGCTGCTCAGGGAATCGGCCCGGGGAATGGCCAGTGTTTCCTTGCTACTCTTCACTGACAGTCACAGCTCTGCAGGTGTCCCGGGCTCAGCTCCTCTGCTCACTGCTCATCTGGCAGCCCTTGGCAGTGGCACAAAGACCTCCCAAACCTCTGCTGCAGACACAGCTCTTGACAACTGCTCCTTCTCTCTCCATCTCCAAGGCTGCAGGCTACAGCGTGGTTCACCCAGACTGTATCTGACATATTTTCTCACATACAAAGGGTTTACTCACTTCCACTTTTAGGCTTTGAGGGGTTTTTAAGCAAGAATGCCCCTAAATTTTAGGCAACAGCCATGCAAATAAGCTGAGTAGCTCAACCAGCCCCTCACTCAGCCAGTGACCTTCCCAGCACAGTCCCCATCCAGCTGGCACTTTCAAGCAGCCCTGGTTCATCAGCAAGAGTCAAAACTGAACTTGTCTCTCACACACCTTCAGGTTTCCCTTAAAGAAGTGCTAATGAGAAGCAAGGAGTATGTAAGGTTCCTCCACTCAGAACCTGCTAGTTCACTGACCCAGCGCTGCGCTTGCGCACCCCTACACACATGTGCTCAAATGCACACCTGGAGCTCGTTAGGCGGTGTTGAGCCTGAAGGGAACAGCTTCAAAATCAAAAGCAACAGCAATGTCTGTTTGAATTCGAGGAAATCAGTGGATGCAGGAAGCAGTAAGACCATTACATGGGTGGACCCCATACTGGGGTATCCATATCCTTCAGTGTCCACGTTTTCTTCCCCCTCATCTCATCACGGCTATAGGAACAGTTCACCTCTTGCACCCTTGTGCAGAATACTTCCATCTTCATCTCCTTCTGGGCACCTCAGTCTTAATCACAAACCCAGCCAGCCGTGCAGTATCTCTGCGCACATCTGAGTAGATAACATTATTCTGGTTGCTGGGAACTACAATTTTTGGGAAGATTATTTGAGCCACATTTCCAGCTGTTGTTGGTTATGTCTGGATTAATAAATTCAGGAGTGACACAGAAAGGTACCAGCGACTGAAACCAGTGATGATATTATATGCTCAGAAAGATCTCAGCATGCTTTTGGACAACACCAACTAACACTGCCCTAAACAGCTCCTGTGCATAGTAGAGAGTTGATACCAGCTAGTGGCCAACCCTAACAGGCAGGCTGCCCACAACCTCCCTCTTTTGAAGGCTCAGAAAGTTTACTGGACCATGCCAGCCAGATCAGGATGAGGCATAAGTTTGCTAATTTGCTCAGAAGTATAGATTCAACATCCACTGAGCTCATTCCAGGGGCCTGGGATGTAGCTGACAAGGCTCTGGCTGCCTTTGGCTTTGGCCCCAGGTGCCGACGGCTGAGCTTATCATTGCCAGTGGAGCCAGACTTCTCTCTAGTTCACAAGGTGGGATCTCCTCTTCATTAAAGGCTGTGGATATTTATAAATATTAATATTAAAACAGAAATTACCAAAACCTGGAAGTGAAACTGGGTTCAACTCGATTTGACTACTTAGATGAATAAACACACAAAAAGAAGCTAAGAAAAGAAAAATGGAATTTTAGAAAGTGTTTGAATTTCAGTACCCTGGGTTGTGTGTGCCACTTGTGCTGCTCCAAAGCACGTGGCCTACAACAGGGCAGGCATCCGGCACTTCTCGGTGAAGGTGATCTCTGCTGCTGCCACCATCAGGTATTCAACAAAAATAGCCTGAGAAAACATACTGCTCGACCGACTGATAAAGTAGCTCCTTCAGCTCGAGTCGTGGGGGCCTCGGCTTCAACAGCAGACTCTCTGAAGACCCCAGCTTCAGGGAAACAGAAGGACTTACACTTTCTAAGTACTGTACACTTTCACTGCACTGCTTTCATCAGGCCTGCAATTTGTGACTCTCCTACCTCCCCCAGAGCTAACAAACACCCTGACTGCTCTTCCGAGGGCTGGACCTGTGTGGATCCGCAGTGATGGTCCGTGCAGCCAACAGACCCGGGGCAAACCTCTAGGACAGAGGGAGGCCACAGACACACATTCAGCTTAACGCAGCACTGCCGATTAGTAAGTGCCTGTGTGGGAAATCAGGCAATGACTTTGGTTTGCATCAGCTCACAGCCGAGAGGAGCTAAGCGGGCACACGGCCATCGCGCCGTAATTGTTTAACTATGACAGGACAACTATAACCTGAGCGAGTTCAATAAAGTCAGAGCCAATTGCGTTTGAAAAAGCTGTGCCTGGAAGGTCTCCGCGCACAGCAAGACCTGTTGGCTCCGTTTTGGTCTGTATCGGCGCACGCCAAAACCCGGTCCCACCGCAAACCCCTTCCCCTCCTCAGCACGGCGGCGGCCCGCCCGCAGCACCGGCGGGCTCGGCCCGCACGAAGCAGCCCTCCCTCACCGCCCCCGCCCCCGCTCCCGCTCCCGCTCGCAGCCCAGGGCGGGCGGGCCCCGCAGCCGCCCCTCCCCGTCCCCGCCCGCCGCCGCGCACAACATGGCCGCGACGCTGGGAAGGCTCCTGCGGAGTTCGGTGAGTGCCCGGCCCCGCTTTCCACACCCCCCCCCCGCCCCCGGCCGGCTCTGACCCCCGCTGTCCCCCCCGCAGGTGTCCGCCGCTGCCGGGAGGAGGCTGACGGCGCGGCCCCTGCCCTGCGCCCGCCGCCGCTTCAGCCTCGGTAAGTGCGGGGAGCTCCCGTCTCCTGAGGCCTTGCCGGCCCCGGCTGCCCTGCGGCTGCGCCCGGGAGGACGAGGAGGGGGAAGAGGCGGCTCGGCCCCGGGGCTCGGCGGGGCGGCTGGCCCGCTCCGCAGCTCTGTTTTTTCCCCCCCGCAGCTCTGTTTTTTTCCCCCCCGCAGGCTCCTCGCGGTTTGCTCCAGCGGTTACACAACACGCCCCGTTTTTTAAAGGAACGGCCGTTGTTAACGGGGAGTTCAAGGAGCTGAGCCTGGATGATTTCAAGGGGAAATACCTGGTTCTCTTCTTTTACCCCCTGGACTTGTGAGTGCGGGTTTCTCTCCTTTCAGATGGGCCTCCTGCCTTGCTGAAGGTCATCAGAAGTGCTGCAGGTCGTTGCTGTCTAAAAGCGGCTGGTTTTACTTTATCTGGGCTAGTCTTGCCAAGCAGATGTGTCTGGTTTTAGAGCGTTGAGTGATAAGGCTTGGGGGCAAATGGCCACTGTGTTTGAAAGCAATGGATCTGGTGGCTGCAGAGCATCTTGTAGCTGCCGGGACAGCCTCAGGAGGTAGACATGGCCTTGCAAGCGTGGTTCCTCGTACAGTCGCGTCTTGGGGCGAGGGCATTGCCTTGCAGTTCCGGGTCACGTTGGAGAGTCTCTCCTTTTAAGCAGCCGGGCTGGCAGAACTGCAGCCAGACAGCTCCAAAGCAAAAGCTGAACAGATGGGGTTGAGCCTGTCCAGAAGTCTAATCACTAAGAGCATCCCGGTGTATGTGGGCACATGGGGGAGGATTTAACCTGCAGTCCTTTCTGCTATAGTTTCCAAAAACTCACTCTCTATAGCATGTCTAACAAAGACAGTTTCTCCATCTCTGCAAAAAATCTGTCTAGAACTCAGAGTTGAAAACTGGTGTGCCAGCTAGGTGGCTGTGGCTGTTGATTGGAGACTGACTGAAACTAATCTTGAGCAGGAAACATGGTTAAAACTACCAGGCTAAAAAAAAAAAACCTGCTGCATTAGTGCCTAGAAACAGACATGAGTCTTTTCTAAAAAATTTTTCGAAACGGTTGCAGAATCATTACAGCCTGTTCTCTCTTCCCACCCAGCACCTTTGTCTGCCCCACGGAAATTGTGGCTTTCAGCAACAAAGCAAATGAATTTCATGATGTGAACTGTGACGTGGTGGCAGTTTCTGTGGATTCTCATTTTTGTCATCTGGCCTGGATAAATACTCCACGAAAGGTATGAATTGAGCAGCTGTTTGGGGCTTTCTTTGTTGCGTTGTTTTCTTTTCACAAGAGTTCCTGAGAAGGGTGGGATTAACACTTGTGCAAACACCATTTTCAATAAACTGCCTAATATGATATGCGAAGTAATTTAACTTCTACATTTGATGACACAATTCAACCTCAATCTTTTTCTTGCTTATTTTCTTAACAGTTTGGGCTTTTGTTTCATCTTTGTTTTGTTCTCAATAGTCTTTTAAGTTACATCATATCCTTATATGTTTATCTCAAAAGATGAATACTCAATAAACATGTCACTGTCCTAAGCTGCTTGTTATAGGTGCTGGTTTGTGTGCACCTTCACAGAAAATGAAGAGCAGCTGTTTAGTCATTACTGTTAACCAAGACCTAACAGTGGTGGCTTCAGAATGGAAGCAGAAGAACCACCAGTTTATTATTAACTCTCAGTTGCTCAAACAGTTCCACTTTTGCAATACAAACAGAAGTCCTCAGCTTTCTTCAGAGAAAGAAAGTGATAAAAATAGCATTTTACGGGTGAGGAGCCTCTTTCAGACATATATAAAAAATACGTGCTTTTGACCACATAAAGCACATCGCTAGTTTGGCTAGTTGTAGAGAGCCAGAAGTGTCGCAGGAAGGTGCAGGAGCGCCGATGTCATCGGTCATTCCCCATGTGGTCGTGCAGCCAGTGGTCTGCAGTAATGCTCGCAGACTGGCGTGCCTGCAGGTGCGTAGTTCTGCTGCTGTAACGTATGGGGGAGGGAGGAGTTTGCTAGATTTAATACGGCTTGGATAAGTCTATCAAGAGCGTTTAATTTTCTGCATGCTTTGTTCAAAGCTCTGAAATGTGACTGTGGACTGACTTTACTGCTCTATGCGAAAGCTGTTTGGTGTATGCCAGTCAGGCACTGCTCAGTGCCCATGTAGCAAAACTCCCTGCAAAGGGTGGAAATAATTCCGTGGTGGCACAGCCAGGAAACTGGCACCCGGAGAAGCTAAGGTCTTGGTTCCTCTGACATCTCTGCTCACAGCTCGGCGTATGCGAACTCTGTTGCAGACAAGCATTTGCAGGATCAGGGTCCGAGTGACTGAGATTACACAACGATTCACTGATGATGTCAGGAATAGAAAAGCTAACAAACTCCAGGCTTGTTTCAAGGATAGAGAGCTTATCTGTCTTGCTGTTCCACTATGTTGCAAAACTGAAAGAAATCTTGGTTGACTCTCCAAACAGTATTTCAATTGATTTAGGGGAGGAAGGAAAAAATAAATGCACTAAATAGAGCGAGCAGCAGAACTCTGACATACCTAGTGTGGCTGTTAGAAGCCTTGTGTTTCATCTGTTCATAGTATGCAGGTTTGTTTTTCCTTTCCTCACCACCATGCTCATCTTGTTTAATTTTGAACACTTAAATATGCAGTAGAGATTTTTGTATTCAAAGCTCCTGAATAGGATACAAGGGAAATCCTTCTGGAAATTTATGACTGTTGTCATAGGTAGCCTTCTACCACCAAAATAAACAATTCTAAAATGCTCAGTGCCAAATAAGTCTTTATGTTCCAAAGAAACCAAATGTTCCTGACTACTTTAAAAAAAAGGCAAGCAAACCAAACCAAAACCAAGCAAACAACACCCCCAGCCCCATGATTCCTTTCATGGAGCAAATAGCACGAATGTGTTTTGTTGTTACTATACCCTCAAGAAGGATTAATACTAAAAAGTGTTTTGTAGCAAAATGGAATCTTACTCTGTTCTCTAGAGTGGCGGTTTGGGCAAAATGAATATTCCAGTTCTGTCGGACCTCACAAAACAGATCTCCCGTGATTATGGCGTGCTGCTGGAAGGGCCTGGCATAGCATTAAGGTAACGCACGATTGCTGGTAACTCAGTTATGACACAACCCAGTCTAAACCACTGTGAGCCATACTGTTAACTCCTGCAGGGGAAAGTGCACAAGGATCAAATGAAGACTGTAAGATGTTATTTTTTCTGCAGAACTTCTGCTGTATCTCACCCTAGGAAAAGGGCACATGGCCATTATGGCTATTAAGTCGAGAATGGTTCCAGACTTCTCTGAGAATGCATGCAGGGGAAAGCCAGCTATTCTGCTCTGAGTGAGTGGGAGAACTCCATGTCACTAAGGAAAACAAGTGTAGGATAGAAGAACATTTTACAGTTTTTTAATTTTTTTCACAATTTAGGTCTGTCCCATTTTTTTTTTTTTGTTTTGTTTTCTTCTGAAGAGAGAAAAGACTGTCTTAACTTCCATGTGAGAAGTTTCTAAAGTGGTTGTTCTAGAGGCCACTACAGTCAATCCCATAACTATCTAGAATAAAAAAATTGACATTTCCTTCCTTCTCCACCATGGGAATACTTACTAAAAGCAAATAGAGGTCCCTGAGAACATTGAATTGGGTAGGAGTCTTCTGTAGACCTTCAGTTCCTGATCTCTTTGGATCAGGAACTTCTGGCATGTGTTTAAGAAATTAAGTTAATTAGTATCATAAGACTGGGGCTTTGGTTTTTCACAAATGTTTATGTGCAACAGGATTTAATTTAGTAGCTTAATGCACAAGAAGCTCTTCACTCAATACCTTCATATTTTCGTATCAAAAAAACATGGGAAGGATGCCAGCTATCAGCTTTGACATATAGATGTAATTAGAAGGTCTACCTTTGTTATACATCTGTCTCAATTTAATAGTCTTTATACATACTTTGTAATTTCACAATACCATACCAGTTGAGTGGTTCTTGGCTTTTGATCCCTTCACTATATATCAAATGCTGTATTGCTAATCCTACTCCTTGAATTACCTTGATGAAGTAGTTCATCCAGTTTCTTGTGTTTGGTCTTGGAACACTATTTTCATTTCCTAAATTCTTACTTAATTACAGAGGTCTCTTCATCATTGATCCAAATGGGATCATCAAGCATCTAAGTGTCAACGATCTCCCTGTCGGTCGTAGTGTGGAAGAGACCCTCCGCTTGGTGAAAGCATTCCAGTACGTGGAAACACATGGAGAGGTTTGCCCAGCAAACTGGACTCCAGACTCCCCTACAGTAAGTGTCTGCTAAATGCCACTTTTCTAAATAAAGACACTGGCATATTTTTGAATGTCTGAAGATCTGAGAACCACTTTAACATGAGGCACATGTCTGAATCTGTGCCTGTTGTCTAAATCAGAGGCTTTTATCGGTCAGACCAATTCAGTCTATTTGTATGATACTGAATGTGATATCTGTGAAGTAAACCACTGTTTTTCTTTTAGAAGACACAAACTGTATTTAAAAACTCTGAATTTGACTTGCACTCTCTACCAGTTGTCTTCAGGTTTTTGTACTTAATGCCCTACTTGATATTTTGCACGGAAAATGTGTTATATACTTAAAATTTGTAAGTAGGAGCTTGTATATCATTTAGGCTTTCATCTTTCAACCAGGTGATTAAACAGAAATAAACAATTGTTTTTATAAAGTATGCATGGATTTTCTTGGATAAAGTGTCAAATCTGTAATTTTTGAATCTTTGTTATAGCATATAATAACAAAACTTTCTTTTCTTGACAGATTAAACCAAGCCCAGAAGCTTCTAAAGAATATTTTGAGAAAGTGCATACATAAGCACTCAAATATTTGGACAAAACTCTTAGTTACCATACAATGAAGACATTAAGAAAGCAGCTGTGATTGTAGAAAAACAAAAATAAATGTTATTATTTTGTGATGCTTAAAAAGAAATTAAATGTTTGAAATATTTACTGACTCCCCTGTTGTCTTTTTAAAAGAAGGGTAAATCTAAGGTGCTTTTTTTCTCCCTTTTTGCAACTTGTTTCATTAATTTCTGTGACTACTAGTCTTCCTGAATATAACAAATACACAAAATATGGTTGTATTCCACTGGGTTCTTCCTCTTTCCTTAAATAGTTTCGATCCAGAAAGTGCCCCGTGTTTTATCACATGAAAAATTAAATTCTGTAAAAGAGTTTGAAACAATGGGGACAATACAGAAAATAGAATTTTGTTGCACTGTTTGTTTTAATTAATTTTGCAGAAGAGATGAATGTAACAAGTAAAAAAGAAAAAAAATCCCCCTTTTTATTTTGGTGTCTAAATGCCCTATAACTCGAAATGAATGTAAGCATGTGCCATTTTAATCCTGCATCTATCCAGAGGTGCAGTGCAGCTACACAGGAGCATTAGCAAGCATGAAGAACTTTCATTCAGCTTAGAAGATGGTAAAAACTTGAACCTGGAGCTTAATGACAAGTCTTCCATCATTTAAAGCACTACCTATTTGCTTGAATCTGTTTGATGTACTGCTTGAAAACAATGTAGCACAGCTCTAGCTACAGTAATAAATCCTAACTGACTATCAGCAGGTGTGTTGCTTTGCTTTTTTTTCACTTTTCCCCTAGAGATTCCTGTTCCTCTCTTTTGAAGGCAGCGGATAAGTTGAATTGCTTTAGAAACTACTAAAGTTAGTAGCTGCCACTGCCTCTGTACGTGTACGGTGGTGAACAGGCCATAGACAGTAGTTGGGTGTGCTGCTGAAGGACTGGATAAATCAGTACCATACTGAATGGGTTTGTATTTTTCATCTGTCCTTTTGTGCAGGGAAAGGGACTTAATATGAACAGAGCATGAGGGAACCACCTTGGCAAAGTGGCTTTTGTGCCCTAAGTTAGCTTTATAAGAGGCATCAGTGCTGCAGTGTAAGTGAAAGGATGAAGAGATTAACCTTGCATGGGTGGTGCCTGGTGATACTCCAGGTTTCAATACTTGCAAATGTCTTTTCAGTCCCAGTGTTGTAGTTGTGTTTTGTGTAAATCCACTAGTATCAGTGCAATTTTCCAATAAACCTGATCTGGACCTACAAGGTGTGAAGTTAAACCCCTGTGCAGCTCAGTAATGCAAAATAACTCTAACAGTGTGGGGAGCAGCTGTTTGTGCCTGTGAAACTGCAACACAGGGACATACTGATCTTATACCTGGCTGTATCTTTCTCTTACCCGAGTCATTTTAAGCCAGTGTGAAGGATGCAAGGGCTTTCTCTGCAGTCCTGCTCCCTGGCTTTGCCTTCCCAGATCGAGCAGGGGGAAACTGCTGGGAGGGGAAAAGTCGGTTGGACCTTTTCTAACCACGACCCGCTCCCCACCATGCTCCAGGGCTGCACACCGTAGCTTCCCTCTCTCTTTCCCTTCTTCATACTTCCCTCCTTCCCTCATTTCTTCCCTCTCTCTTTCCTTCCCTCCCTCCTTTCTTTCCTCTTTCCCTCCCTCTTTCATTCCCTCCTTCCTCTCTCCCTCCTTTCCTCCTTCCTTCCCTACCTCCCCCCTCCCTCTTTCCTCCCCTACTCCCTCCTTTCCTCTTTCCCTTCCTCCTTTATTTCTTCCTTCCCTCCCCCTGTCCTTCCTTGCCTCCCTCCCTCCATCCTTCCCTCCTTCCTTCCCTCACTCTTTCTTTCCCTCCTCCTTTCCTCCTTTCCCTCCTCCTTTCCTCCTTCCTTTCCTCCTTTCCTCCTTCCTTCCTTTCCTCCTTCCCTCCCTCCCTCCCTCCCTCCCTCCCTCCCTCCCTCCCTCCCTCCCTCCCTCCCTCCCTCCCTTCCTTCCCTCGCTCTTTCCCTCGCTCTTTCCCTCCTTCCATTCCTCCTCCGCGACGGGGGCGCGACCCCTCAGGGCCCAGCTCGCGCCTCAGGGCGGGAAGGCGGCCCAGCGCCGAGCCCACCCCGCGGGGAGCGGAGGCCCGGCCCGGCCCGGCCCGGCGGGAGCGGGAGAGGGGGGGGATCCCGGCGCGGCGGCACCGTGCCCGGGCGGAGCGTGCAGCAGCCGGACCGTCCCCCCGCAGCCGCCTTTCCGCTGCCGCGGCCCCATGGACGCCAACCTGCGGTTCTGGAGGGCAGAGGGACAGGTGAGGGGCCGGGGCGGCCGGCACAGCGCGGCTCGGGCGGACTGCCTCGCGCACAACGCCTCCTCTCCCTTAAACGTGTCTCCGTCAGTCTTTTTTCCAGAGGTTTCTTCTCTGGGCGGACGTCTTGGATCCGCTGCTGCTCCTGAAATCCGCCGTGAGTACCGCGGCTCGGCCTCGCCGCGCTGTGCCTGGCGGCACCGGTGGCAAGAAGGGACGGGGTGTTTTGGGGCCCGGGCCGCAGGGTTTTGGGGGGGGGGGACGGGGACACACACACTCTCGCCCCCCTTCCCGGGGGCCCCGCGGGACGGCATCGCCCCCACCCGAGCTCCAAAACGCGCCCGGCATCAGGAACATTAGCAATACACCTCCCCAGTTTTGGCTTAGCTAAGGTGTAAAATAATACCATTACAGGGCATTTGAGGAAAAATTATATACATGTATGCATTTCTTTATGTAATTACATAAAATAAAGGGCATTTCTAGGCACTACCACTACACAGTTCTCTTCAGGCAGTGGCTGCTGTGCCAAGTGGAATTAGCCCAATTAAGAATCAGGAAGCCCCCAAAGACGAGAGCGGTGAGGCTGTGCTTAAATACAGTCGGCTGCTGGAGGACTCGGGGTGTGGAGTTGTCACAGCTTTGGAGAGGACGGGTTTGCTGAACTGCGTCGCCAGCACCCAGAGTCACTGCTGGATAATCTGTGTACCCATCCCTGCAGCTTAATCTGAAGCTCGTGTAGCTCTTTGATTCTCTTCCAAGTGACTATACTGAAATTCATTCTCCCCTAAGAGGGACCACGCCTGATTTGTAGGCCCTTTTTATACCAGATAATGCATATTACAACTTCTATCGTTAATTAGTGAAAGTGTGACCCTAAGCGCATTGTTGGTCATAAAGTGTAGCTTCTAAATTTCAAGAACTGTCTTGATAGCAAAATTCAGGGGAAGATGTGCTTTTCTGTCAATCCACTTCTGTCAATCGTTTTGTCAGGGAAAAAGTACAGCACACTGTATGAGAGTCGGCTGGTTGGCCAGTACATTAAAGGCATTTTTGTTGGTTGATTTTTTTAAGGGAAAGCGCCATTGAAACAAAAGAACACTGTCAAAATGTGTATACATGAGATATTTCCTTGTCACTTGCAGAATTAGTGTGTTGTGTCTGTCCATCTATCTTTATGTGTGCATGTGGTATGAATATGTGTGTATATGGTATGAATGCACATCTCTATATATTTAAATGTACAAATAATATAATTTAGTAAATGTACATTATATATATGTAAATGCCAACAGGAAAATTTTATAGTACATTCGGGAATTTGGAGATCTGGGATTAGTTGACACCTTGAATTAAAATACTCTGTTGCAAATAGAGATGTGCCAGTTGAAGAAAAGTCAAATCATCTCATAAATTCTCCTAAGAGGGGCAGCTTTTTATATAGACTATGGATAGCTACATGAGGTTACAGGTTTTATTCTCTTTGTTTAAGTGTATGTGTTTTCCATAATTAAAAGCTTAAGTGAAGTGTTAAAGGAAGAGTGTAAGATGCAAAACTTGATCACACATTTGTGAACATGCAGGAACATCTAGTAATGTTGTGATTCATTTCTGGTAATTTTAAAAGTCTGGTTTGGAATTTAATTTTAAAATAGACATCTAGGTGCCTGTGGGGAATATCAGATGATTGTTTTGGCAGCAAATCTTTGAGTTTGCTAGCACATGTGGATGACTTTAAGTACAAGATTAACACTCTTGATTTCAGTGAGGTTTTTCATATGCTTAAAGTTCCAGTGCGTTTGTGTAATGGGTTGAAGGATTCATACTTAAAGGGACAGAGGGAGCCTGAATAATCTAAAAGTTTCGATGATCATGAAGTGGTTGTGTGTCTGCATGCGTTCTTGCTTTCACTGCCCTGGGGAGGGACAGGTCCATTATTAACTTGACATTCTAGGTTTGTATTTACAGTGTCTTATAACTGATATATTCCACTTCAGAATATTGAAATCTGACTTATTTTTTCTGTTTGTTTTGTTTTTTTCTCAAATATAGGATGAAATAAGAACCACCAGGTTACTCATACAAAACAGTGGGAAGACCCTAAATGAGCCCATACAGAATGATGAGGTATTCTGGAGTGCGGTTTATAGGAAATCAAGGAGTCTTTTTTCATGGCTGAAATAGTTGATATTAGTACAAGATCTATCAGACAGAATACTGAGATTCAGGTACAAGGGATAACACAGGAAAAACTCATTACTACAGAGATTTTTCTAACCTATGAATCTAGTAGGAATTTCTTTGGATTACTTTAATGTCATATTGCAGTATTATCATCCTAAAGAATGCTAGGTTGTTTATCATACAGCTGAGTTTAAAAGACACTCTCACATCACTCTGGGAATCATTGCTTTCAGTTTGTCCTCAGCGGGGATGTTATAGGTAGGTGATAGATATGCAAAATGCTTAACGAGCCAATTTTGAATCTTCAAGGTTGCATCACCATACAGAAGGCAGATTGGATTGGTTTCACATCTCATAAAATAAGCAGTAGCAGTACTTGGGTGGGAAACCTACTCACAGAATTGCTGGAAAGTAGTGCTGAACCCTTGCTTCGTTCAGAGGAGTCTTTCTTTTGACTCAGTGTGGGCTCAGCTCTTCCCATGTGGTATTTAGTACCTTGTGTGTCAAAGTCTGAAAGGAGAAATGAAAACTTATGTAATTCCAGAAAAGCTAAAATCTTAACATAAGTGTTTAGGCTTTTAGACATATTTAAATTGTTGTTTTCTGTTTTAAAATACCTACTAGCTTATCTTTTTAAAATTAACTTCCTTTCTGCCATAGTGTGTGCTTTGATGCTGTTACACAGCACGTGGGATGTGAGTAAGTTATATTCAACAAGGAGTATGTGGAGAGAGATTTTAGGGAAAACAATAAAGGGATGTATACAAATACAGCACTCCACATAAAAGTAAGTTATTTGGGAAAAAAAAATTAGAAGATTTTACCCAGTCTCTTCTGAAACTTGATTACTAACCTAATTTTCAAATTGTTTAGACAAGACAAGCCTTCCTGCTAAGCCTGGTAAGTTTACAAAACATTTAGAATTTTTTTTTTCCTGTCTTATTCAAGTATGACAAAGGTGATCTAATTTGCCTTTTTTCTTTTAAGTCCAGTGTACATCCTGATACAGATAAGATAATTCCTCATATTTTTAGACCTCCAGGTAAGTTTCCTTAGGAGAAGTTTTGTGTATGTAACTGAAGCATCAAAGAGGAATAGCTCATAGTAGACAGTTACAGTGATACTGAATTCCATATAGAAAACCAAGTAGACTCTTACTTCTATTAGTTGCACTGTCATGTCTGTTGAAGATTTATTTATTCCTACAATCCTCCTGAGGAAATTTTCCCACCATTCATCAGCTCAGCTAGGTGGAAATAGTCTGGCCATTTTCTGTTTGGTTTGTTTGGTTTTTTTTTGTCACTATGGAATGAGCTCTCAAATCCCTCCATGTATAAAATAGTCTACTATAAACTAAGTTTTCACTTGATGAATGTGGATACTGTATGAATTCACTTGCTGTGGTGGCAGATAAACTCTGTTTGGGATGACGTTTAGGGAGCCCAGACAACACAGCTTGTTAATCAGATATAACCATCTTAAGCTATTTACTCATTATCTCATCTAACCACTCACAGCTGTAACAGCCGTTGTCACTGATCTCTTTTTGAACAAAGTGAGAAGTAATTTCTATTCAAAACTCAGCTATATGGTTTTTGAGTAGCCATGTTGAGTGGAGTTCATAAGGACTCCTTTTGGCTATAAGCTGTGACCAGGTGTTCTGGCTTCTTGAATGAGAAATGAGAGATAAAGAGAATTGAATTCCAAGGTGATGCTGTTTTTTTTCCGTGGGAGGTATTTTACTTAGAGCTGAAATGAGAGTGGGGAAGTAATGGGAATCTTCTGTTCAAAATCTAGACTCAGCACTTACTTTTAATGAAATGAAGTTTTCTTTCTTTTTAGCTTTCCTGCCCATATGTCTTCCATTGGTGAGTAATTGTGAAAGATGTTAGTGTACCACAGGGCTTATGTTTTTCCAACAAGGCCAGGGGTTGGAAGGAAGGAATAGAAAGTTTTAGGCTTCTTAGTTGTACTTTCAGCATAAGCTTTTAAAAGACATCTGTTTTATGGGAAGCGCTGGGTAATCTAGAAATCGAGCCCTTAGAGAGTCTCATTGGAAGTACAAACCTGTTAGCTACCTTCCTTCAGCAGTATTCAAAAAGATTGTTCATGCATGAAGATCAGCTTTCTAATGAAAAGTGATGTTCACTAGGTGTTGAGAGCAAAGCCTGGTTTTGTTCTGTTTAACTTTGCAAAAGTGGAACTGCAGTAGTAAGGAGTCAGATCTTCTGTTCTGTGTTTCTGACCCAGAATGTGAATTTTTTCTTATGGAGATTGTGCATGTGCAAGTAAGAAATGGTGTGGTCAAGAAATTACTAAATATATGAAAATAAGATCTTGTTATAGTGCTTAAAAGTGGCACCATTTTGTTTCATAAAACTTGTAGCTGTGTTTATATGCATGTTTATTTATTTAGATGTGTTTGCCTTTGGTTTTGGTATGAGTATACATACTGAGATATGTCATTCCTTATAGAGATTACAGCATGAATTTACGTGGCACTACTAGAAAGTATAACAGACATCAAGACTTTAATTAAGAACAATAATAGAATTAACAGCAATATTTCTTTTTGATATTTACACCTTAATGCTCTTTCATAGATATGGTTATATTCAGCGCTGGCATTAATAATAAAGGTAGTTGATCCACTAATCTTGAATTACTGATCCTTCTCTTAAGGCTTTGGGCATTCCATGCCTTCCTGTTATTCAATGTTTGCCTTATCTTGATTGACTCTGTATTTTGAGAGTGCTCCACACCTAGGAGGCCAGACCTCAAGAAAGGCTGTGGTTTATTATGAATTACAGTGTGGTTTATTATTATTGATATTATTATTGTGAAGTTGTTATTCACTGTCAAAATTGGGAAGTAAATCCTAGAATCTTTGGTCTTAGATCAGGTAGATCTAGTATTTGTATCCCCACTAGCCAAAACAGTCTGACACTTTCTCATTCACTACTTTAATTGATTTTATTATCTTAGTGTTTCTATTTGCATCTATTTAAGCTTCACAGGTACAAATGCATTTTTTTATTTTGCTTAAGAAGGGATCTTGTCCAAATATTCTTGCATACAGTGTTTTTATCACTGTGTCCCTGTGTTTCATATTGGATAGAGGAAGTGACTATGTCACATCTGGGTCAGGAAAGTGTGTTAGCCTAGAATCAAGGCGAATGGCTTTGGGTGCAGACTGGAGCCTTTGATGATGCTGCTAATAGTAACATAGCAGTTCTCTTTGTGCTCTAGCCCACCACTGCTCACTAAAAAATTCTAGACTCATCAAACCTAATTTTCTTGTGGGGTTTTTCTCTTAGGTTATTGTTTCATCTCTTCAGGTCCAGGCAAAGCAAACTTTTTTTTGTCAGGTAATTGCCTCTTTCTTTCTACTTTTACAAGTCTTCTAGTCTCAATCCCAAATTAATTTTTCCTTATAATCTCTTGTTTCTGCAGTTCGTGTTGCACACATATACCACAGGGTTCACTCTATTCAATGGAAATGGTACCGCCAAGGCTGAAGTATGTGTCGACTGTTATTTTTTAAATCATCTTAATTGTACAAGACCATTCCAAACATGATTTACAGGTGTTTTACAAATATATGTACTTATGTAGCGTGTCTCTTCTGTCCTTCTTAGGAGTACTCCGTTCAACAAAAGCAGGTCGTCTGTGGCTTGGGAGCCATTTCCTATGCAGCATGTATTGGTGTATGTATTTGCTCAATGATTGCTTTCCTGATAAGCTCTCCTGAGGAGTGGGCACTGAGATAATCACACTGCCAGATACCCTTCAGGATTGTACTCTGATGTCTTGTCCCACAACTGTTCAGAATAAGAATTTTCCTGATCATCTGTCAGCCAGTACCTTGCTTGGCTTCCTCTGATGCTTCCTCTTCTTTATTATTCTGTAAGCTTAGCAAGTGAGTAGTGAGAGGAAATGTTCAGTGTTTACAAACACAGAGTAACCAATTGGGTTGTTGTAGTTGATTTTTTGATGTGGTGCTGTGGAAGAGATCTGTCTCGCTTTAAACAAGTGGTGAAATCTGCAAGCATCTGTACTGGATAGAGTTAGCTCAGATCCCAGAAACAGCATAGCCATGCAAATGCTGCACTGAATGCAGATGAATTATCCTTCTAGGGGGGCTGAGGTAGCTGAGGGCTCCTAGCTAGCTCTGTGCTGTGCTGGAAGAGGAAGGTGTGGTTTTGGGAGTTTGCTATATCAGAATGAGCTTTGGTATCCTCATGACACTCGTTGCAAGTGTAGATGCCCCTATAACACATTTCCTCACTCTCCATGCTAAACAGTGATTTTTATAAGCTGCCCGGCATAAAATTATGGCTATTCCTGCTTTTGTTAGATGGACTTTCACCTCTGTCTACTAGACAAAAGAGTAGGGCCAGCAGTTCTCAGGAAAAGTCCTGAGAGGTATGACGAGGCAGCTGTGTGCACGGCTGAATGTGGGAGTTCTTCCCCTTTGTCCTCCACGGGAGACTCTGAGAGTGGTGTCCTGGCCATTTATTCCTAAATGAAACTTCCTGCAAGTATATTATGGGAATACAGAATTGGGCTGAAACTGCAGAGAATCAGGAACAAATACACAAGTAAACCAGGTTTCCTGTTTGGGGGAAGAGAGCAGTGTGTGACAGAAGGCAGTTGGACAGATGTCCAAGGAATATTAGTCAGAGGTAATTGTTTTCCTTTTTCTGTTTTTGTATTCATACTACTATTGTCCTATACATAATAATGGTCAATGTTTATTTTTATAGATGGTAACCATGTACCAAGTCACAGATTTATTTTCCTAACCTGTTGCACATACTGAAATGCTGCACACTTTTTCTAATAGAAGGTGCCTGTTTCCTCCCAATGCCTTAGGCTTTTCCTCTTTTCTTCATGAATCGTTACACATTGAAGAATTCGTTAATGCAACTAGTCGTCAGAAAACTTCTACCTGCTCCTCTGCTTGGTGAGTATAAAGAAACTGTACATTGTGCAGCAGCTCTGAGGGCCATTTGCTGCCCCCATCTGACTGCAGAATTTTGTCCTTGCACAGATGGGATCTGACTGTTTCCTAGCTGCCTTTGCTGACTGCCTTTGATAGCTACTGTCCTTTCTGTGTGAGGGTTAACACTCACTGATCAGTATAGATGACCTCTGTGATTCCTGCTGGTTTTAGTTTTAGAGCTGTACAGCTCTCTTCTGACCTTTGTATGCGTGACAGGCAACTATTTCTCCAAAGATATCCAGGGATGCAGTCGGCATTTTTCTTTGGCTTGCAAGTTACACCTGGAATTGGATATGGGAGTAAGCATGGTTCCTGTTATGCCTAGACTTTGTTCTAGAAAAGAGAAAGGAGAAAACCAGCTAGATTACTAACTCCTGTTTGATATGGACTTTATAAGTGCCTGTGGTTTGGGCTTGTGTTTTTGGTGACTGACTCTGGGATGGATGTTTTCAGGAATGTTGTAAGGCTGGGTCTGGAGGAGACTGAAACATTCTCATCTGGGACCCAGCTGAAGCACTGCCACTTGTGACACACATACAGAGCTGGGCAGAGAAGGGCCATAATAGAACCTATTAGAGCCTTGGCACCCTCCCTTTCAAATCAGGAGTGCAGCCTTTACTTAAAGTCTGATCCCTTCAGGGTCTCTTCTTCTGTTCTGGATCTTGCACTGACCAGTACAAAACCTATCTAAAACACAAATCCCTCCCTTTTCTCTTAAGAACAAAGTACTTCTAGTTTGAGCTGGATGGCAGTGATTGAAAGCTCCGAGTCCATGATGATAAAGCACCTTTTAGGACTGGGGCCTTAAAATCTTGCTTAAGCTTCTGAAAGATTAAGATCCCAAGTAGATTTTTACGGGGCAGTCTCTTCTTAAGCTGCCAGGTTATTCGGTTGTGAACTGTTGAACTGGAAATGTAAAATGCACATAATTATGAATGTTACTACTGAGATAGTCCTTCTGGATCTTGTAAAGCAAAATCCTCTTTAACTCTGCAGGTTTGATGAGTGCGTTTACTGTGGCAGTGGTGAGAAGCCCAGAATTTGAGAATGGAATTGAAGTGATGGACAGGAATGGCAAGGTTGTAGGAGTGTCACAGAAGGCTGGTGAGAAGGTGAGCAAAGGGGTGGAGGTCTCTGTTGCTTTTCATTCACTGCTAAGAGCAGAATGTGATGCTGAGAGTAGGTGGAGTTGGATATTGAACTGAGGAATCCCAGATCAGGTGCTGAATCTTTGGATAGGCTTGGACTAGGTCTCTGGAGCCAGGTTCCGCAACACTTGTGTCTTCAAGGGTTGGCAGCCTCCCCAGACCAATATACAGAGTTGAGCCACAGAGACACTAGCACAGGCATTTCTTCTTTCCCTGATCGCCTCAGAAGGAGACAAGACTCTTGAACCTTCTGACGGGACACCTCAGAGAAAAGCTCTGTATTGTACATACTACATGCACCTTCTATAGTAGGAATATTATTTAAAGCTGTGCCTCCCAAAGGGTAATGCCCTGATCTACACTATGCTAATGCCTTTTATCCTTGAGCTCCAGTTGCTGGCCAAGCTGACTCTGTATTTGCTCCTTGCCTTGTTCATCAACTTCCACTGTAGAGCCTTGCACAGGAACTAGAGTGAGGAGTCATATTTTATATGCTAACAGTGACCCTCTCTTTCTGTGCTGCTGTCCAGCAGGGCAGAAGCAGTTAGATGAGCGTAAAGATTTGTGGACAGCTGGAGAGAGAACTTCAAATTTCACACAGGATATATAGGATGCCCAGAAGTTATAACCATTTGAAAGAAGTTCAGCACAACTTAAAAAAAGCAAGTCTCAGGAAAATGGTTACCATGGTAGGAAAACTCCATATGGCATCAGTACTATCACCCCCCTTTTAAGGAATTCCTTAGGTCACAAGTGGAATATTTGCCACTTGTAGAAGTTTAGCTTTCATTTAAGAAAGAATTCCTCTAACAAATGTTTTTATCCCACATTTACCATTGCTTGAAACTCCAGAATATTAGACAAGAAAGCGCTCACAGAAGCATGCAGTGTTTGAAGCTGCACAGAGCACTGCTTTAATAATGTTCATTTTTCTCTCTCCCTGGAGGCTGTTAAAGAAACAGCATTGTCGAGAGCAGTCTTGTTTGGGACCGCATTCTTCCTGCCAGCTGTGATTACGTACTTTTTGGAAAGGTAGGAGGTACTGCAAAAGGTCTGGGGGTGCCTGGTTAGTGTGTATTCTGGTTTTCAGTCTGGCTGTTACCACTTGCCAATTTTTTCTCAGATTTGCAGTATTACTTGCCTTGGTAGGAGTGATTGTCTGGAAAGTTTCTGTTCACCTACTGTGATTAATTCAGATGAGGAAATTAATCTGTTTATGTCCACGTTCATGCTTTGAGGGTTTGCAGGAGGTTGTGTAAAACTGTGAGGATTTCCTCTCTTCTCCCATGCAGGAAACATGTTTGTGCTCCCCTGACAGGCTGTTTTCCAGCACCTAGGTTCCCTAACTTGATTTGAGTCACAGTGTCTGGTGTCAAGGTTGTTCACAGTACTTGGCTTAGATTTGTTATTTCTAAAGAGACAATATGGTACTTGAATTTGCAACTAAACCTGTATCCCAACTTCCAAATAGCTTTCCATATATTGTAAAACATTTTATTGCTTTTTCAACATTTAGAAACTTTATGTCATAAGAAGAATTCACTGTATGCTTTATCAGAGAATTCTTAGCCTGCCCCGAGCTTTTGGTAGAGATCATCTGTCATGTAGATAACACAGGTAATTTGGTATTGCCTAAATCAATTCCCTGTCCTGCTTTGTTAGATTAAGGGACTTCTGTTATCAGAAGACATAAATGCAGCTATAAGATAAAATTTTAAAATTATTTTGAGTAATAAGCTTTGTGCAAGGCAAAGTAGGACTGCCAAGAGGAAGTACATCTTAAAGGAAAGAAAGTAATGCAAGAAAAATCTTAGTCAAAGGACGGAGACATTTTAAAGCTCTAATGCCCCTTCTCTTGTCATTTTGATCTTGATGCTTATTTTCTTAATCTTGACAATCTGGGCCTGGAAAATGCTGCAGCTAAATACAAAACAAAGGGAAAGAACAGGAAGTTAGGAGTAAGAACATAGGAAATAAAGGAAGGAAACATCTTCAGGATTCATAAGCCTGGGTTATTACTATACAGTGCAATTTCAACCACTAAAATAGTAGCTAATGCTCTTTGTCTCACTGTCAGATTATTTTTTGAGCCCACACTGACATACTTACTTTTTCAATGTCTCAAACAGAAAAAAATTTGCAAAAACTCCCCGTGCTTTGGCTTCAGTGAGAATGTTTGCATTTACGTCGGTACTAGCAGGGATGCTACCAGTTTCACTTAGTATGTTCCCGCAGTGTGGGGAGGTAAGTGCTTTCGTAGGAATTGATTTAGGATTATTGTTATATTAAATAGTCATTCTGTAACTATGGCCAACAGTCTTAAGGCCTCATAGGAAAAAATAATAGGATTAATGTGGTGGTGCATCTAAAATGGGGCAGCAGAGAAGCTGCTTGTAAAGGCTCATGTACTAGGCAAGACAGGACTTGTTCGGTTTAAGTGGCATTGTGTTTTATTTATATTTACACTTTTCAGTGTAGATTCAGCAGATTTTTCACAACAGTTTGAAGCAAGCAGTGTCAGGAGAGCTGTCTTAAAGATTAAAACCAAGGCTCTTCCAGCACTGTTTTCAGTCCTGCTGGAGATAGGAAGGATGTAGATGAGAATTTTTTCTTCCATGCAAAGTCAGCATGAGCTCATGAGAGGGGTAAACCAACTCACAGGTGACATCTCTTCACCCTTCCTTACTGAACTGTGATGTGTGATCTGGTCCCTGGGAAAGAACACCTTCCTGGCAGGTTTTAAATGGAGGCTGTGGCCCTTGAACCTTGGGCTTTGAAGACCAAGTGAGAGAGAAGCCTGGGGTTCCTTTCTGCATTTATTTCCTCTCCTTTGTCAGCATCTGTGAATATTCTCAGAAAATCACAGACTGTGCTCTTGCAATTTTAAGTGGTTTCTTTTATTTGCCTGAACTTTCTGGCATTGTAATCTCTTTTTTTTAGATTTCTTAATCTCTTCAGGCAACAAGGGTAAACTGAACATAAATGAAGGGACTTGTGGGAAATTATGTACTGAGAGTATGGCTGGTTGGTTCCCTTTGAGTTTCTCTATTGCTCAGCCCACAGCAGAAGTTTCCTGGGTGAGTCACCCGAATATATTTCTGGTTGGACTCAATGATCTTAAAGGTCTTTTCCAACCTAACTGACTCTATAGTGAATGAAGATAACATAATTAATGCACTATTTAGATCTTGGGAGTACGTCTAATTTTAAATAAAACATATTTCTTCCCTTACATGTGTGCATATAGAAGATGTCAGAGAAGCAAAAAATAAAGCAGCTCCAAAACAAAAAAATCCCTCAAATGCCTAAACAAGGAACCTCAAATCCCACATAGTCTTGCTTCTGAATACAGTATTTCAATTTGTGCGAAGTTCAGTGCGGTAAAGATGACTTAGCATACACTTACTGGGATATGGTGATGTTGATTCCCTTTTTCTATACATTGCAGATAAAGCGAGCGGACCTTGAGCCGGAAATTCTGTCATCTACAGAAGAAACAGAGTTATTCTACAATAGGGGAATTTAGAGATTGGCTTTAATATATCGGTGTGTGTTCTGATTGAAGTGAATTCTGAATGCATCAACAAATTCAACTGGTATATGTGACTGAATCGTGACTCTGTGGTGGTGTACATACCAGATTTGATGTACAATGGTGCAGTCTGTAAAGAGGCAGACTTTGCAAAATGATTTTGGAAGCCCCAGCTCACAGGCAGATATGTACACATAACTTAATGCTGTAAGTGATATTTGTATTAAAAGACTATTGAATACAAAAGTTTGTTCTGCTGCTGCTTTCCAGGAACACAGGTAGTAAAGGCATTAACGTCAGTAGTCCTTTGGGTGAAGGCAAGCTGGTTCTGTCGTGGTTTAGGCCTGATTGGCAGCCAACCACAATGCAGCAGCTCTCTCTCCCTTCCCCTCCAGCAATGAGAAGGGACAGAGAGCCAGGCTTGGGGTTCAAGATAGGACTGGGATGGGGGAAAATCCCCCTTTATGATCACGAGCAAAAGGCAGACTCGTTAGGGGAAGAAAAATAAACATACATTTATTACAGACACTAACAACACATAACAGAGTAAGACAGTGAGAAGCATTGCCACATCTTGAGAACACCTTCCCCCCACCCCTCCCTTCTTCCCGGGCTCAGCTCTGCTCCCGATATCTCTACCTCCTCCCCCAGTGGCGCAGGGGCAGGGAATGGGGGGGTGCAGTCAGTGCTGCCACTTCCTTCATCTTCGGTGAGGGGAGTGTCCGAAACTTGTTCCTCCTGCTCCATCGTGGTCCCCCTCTCACAGGAGACAGTCCTCCACAAACTTTCTCTGACATGAATTCCTCCCATGGGCCGCAGCGTTCCCCACACTGCTCTGTCATGGGTCACTAACTTCCTCCGACTGGATTCCCTCCCACGGCTGCAGCCCTTCCCGAGCTGCTCCGGCGTGGGACTCCCCCACATGCTGCAATCCTCCCAGCGCTGAATTACAGCAGCGGGGCTGCCTTTTCCCATGAGACCCTGGCCTTCTTCGGGCACAGAACCTTGATTAGCAGAGCAGGAGCCACAGGCCATAAATCAATGTCTGCTCCACCGTAGATCTCCATGGGTGGCAGGGGGGGGCCGCCCTGCCGTCTCACCACAGGATACAGGGGGGTCTCTGCTCCGGCACACCTCCCCCCTCCTTTCTTCCTCCGTTCCTCCACTGACCTTGGTGTTCATGCAGCTGCAGCAACTCCTCCTCACAAGTCCCACTGCCCGTCACCACGTCCCTTCTTAAATACGTTATCGCAGAGGCGCAGCCGATTGGCTCAATTTCCCAAACAGAAGTGGAGCTGACGTGGAGCTGGGGGAGCTTCGAGAAGCTTCTCACAGGGGGCCGCCCCGATAGCCCCCTCCCCTGCCACCAAAAATCTCCACCACTCACTCAACCCAGGACAGGTTCTTCTCAGAATACTCACTTTGTGTGTTTTGTTGTATTATTAACACTCATTTCAAGTATGAGACATGAGTGAAGTGGCCATTAAAGTGGTATTAGACAAAGCTACCCTGATGGCAATATAATATTTGTTAAATTTAGTTGTTTAAGAAACGTTCAAGAACTGGGTATCAAGCTTGGCTATGGAGTGACTCCTGGCTTTCTCAACATCCTTGAAAGAGTTGTGAGGCCTGATGCTCCCTGAGCTTCAGAACTTGTTTTTTTTTTTACACTGAAGCCACTGGGAAATCCTGTGGCTTTCTGACCTTGTGGTTGTGCAATGAGGAATCCCCCCTTCTGCAGGTTGACAGTGTTTATCCAAACAAAAGAGCTGTCTCTTTGACAGGTGGCATAAGGGTTAGCCTGTTGGTCAAGTGCAGTGATAAACTTTGCTGATCATACAAAATTATTTGGGGGATCAGGGCTGTTTGTGAAGAGCTGAAGAAAGAGCAAACCAGTTTTTTGCAAAACAGGTTTTTGCAAAAACAGGTGAAATACCAAATGGGTAAGTGAAAAGTAATGAGCTTTGAAGTTTTTACCAAAGGGCATTACATGTACTAAAAGTGGACATGAATTTAAGAGGAGAATGGGCATTTCCAAAGGGAATCGATTGAAGGATACTAAATTCATGGAAACTATACAGCAAAAGTTCATAAGCTCCATACTACTGGAGAGGGAAATGGGTAAACACCTTATTTGCCTGTTCTTACTTTCTTCTTGTGTCTGCTTTTGGTGGCCACTGGGATGTGACATTTGGCTGAATAGATCTTTGGTCTGGCCCAGTACAGCTGCTTTCATATGGTTTGCTGACCCGCCACAAAATCAAGATCAGACCTTTCCCTGGGGGAGCAAAGTAGAAAGAAGTTCCACAAGTTGGGTAGGAAACCCTGTGACTGTGGTAACAACAGGCAGGGGTCATGGGAAAGATGGCTCTAAGGTCACTGAAGATGTTACAGGAGGTGCTGCTAAGGCTGTGTGTGACAAGGATAAATACGCACTGAATAATGTAATAACCACTTTCACAGGAATAGTTTTACAAGTATAGCCTCCAAAGTCTGCCAGAATTTAATTTCCTTAGAGCACAATACACAGGTCCTCGCTCTCCTGCTGGAAGATTCGATTTCTTTTAATGGTGTGAGGGAACCAACTGGTTTCCCAACCCACTCCATGCCCACAGGAAGACAGCAGCACAGAGCAAAGTAAGGAAAAATAGCAGGCCTGCTCTCTTCCAGGAGAACAGTTCCTGCTGCGCTTTTGGCACTGAACAAAGGCAGGAAGTAGGGGGTCGAGTTTAGTTTCTAGTTTGAGTTCTGCCTTTTTTTGAGCCTTCCTTTAACAACTTACTGCAGGGAAGGGTCAGACAAGGAAAGACGGGGAGGAGCAGACCATTGTAAGGACCTGTAACTTGAGGGTGTAAAGCTGTGCCAGGAAGACAGTATGGGTATTGTCTGTACATTGCCAAACCTAAGAGTGGCAAAGAGTTTGCACTACTCCACTGGAGGACTGTAGTGAATTTTTAAAGGTAAAGGCTCATTTACACTCATTTATACCTCCTGACCTAACATGTGGGTCGTATTCTTAAGCACATAGCAAAATTGCATCAGGGTCAACAACATAAAAGCAATTGTACAGTGTCAGAACAAAGGCCTGCCTAGCCAAAGATCATCTCCAACGGCAGCTAAAAGGAGACACAGGAAGAAAAGATCACATCAGCCCCAGCTCTCCTGAGCTGGGAGGAGGCTTGCCCTGCTCCCTCCACAGGGTCAGGTGGAACAGGCTTACAGTCTCAGCCTGCCTCTCTCAATGAAGTGTTTGCTCTCCTACCAAATCTTTATTAACAGCGGCACAGCTAACATTCTACAGTTAAATTGTCTTAACTCTTGTTTTGCTATTAATCCTATTTCAATAACATATCAAAGGCAAACTCAGATGGGGTCTAACTCCACTCTCTGTAAACATTAATTGGCACTACAATGAAGACTTGCACCTCTCCCTGCTTCTTTTTTAAACATAATTTAAGAATGGCTAAAGTAAATGCTAATTACGTGAACCACAGTGGAAGCAAAAAGGAAAAATAAACAAACAACCAAACAACCCACCAAACAAAAAAAAACCCAAACCAATAGAGCAAAGCCAACAAATTGAAGATAACACATTCATGAACTTCAGATCGTCATGGTAACTAGACAAGCTATAAATTCTCTGGCACCACACTTGGATGTTTTAAGCAAATTGATGTCATTACAACTCTGTGAGTAAGGCTTATGGAATAGGTCTGGTAATAGTGTCTGTTATTACAGCTGCCCATTATCAAACTCTACCAGCTTCTTACCGAATACCTGAGTTGAAATTTGCCATATTAAATAGAAACACAGCCCCCTCAGGGTTATTAAATACCTTTTTCCTTTCCCCCATTCTCAGAAATGTTTCTATTGCCCTAACTAGAATTTTCCAGAAGAGGACGGCAGGCACCTGCCATTTAAGTTGTCAGCCCAGGTGATTCAGCTGCTTCCCAAATCAGGGCATGGAAAATACATTGCTAAAAAGGCCCTGGCATCCTTGGTCTTGAGCTAAAGTCATTATGAGACTAAACCTAGAACTACCAGGACCAGACACCTGGTAGTCTGCAGGGATGAGGTAAGTGAGGGGAAGAAGACTGGAACAAGCAGAAAAGCATCACGTTTGAAGGGCTTGGGAGAAGCACCAGCACCTACAGGAAAACCTTCCCCTTTGTAACCTGGAATAGATTAACAACATACCAGCCCAAGGCAGGTCTGTCTCCTGCCTTTAGCACTAGCCAGTGTGCTAAGTGACAGTGAATTAGTGGTGGAACCAGTTTAAGGTGGAGTAAACTACAATAGATGGAAGCTTTCTGCTTCAAGGAAGGCATAAGTCTCCTGCTAGCAGCTCCCCACCTACTCAGCCTGTCATCTTGAAATTTAGAAATATACAATGAGGCTCCCATGTCCCTTTAATGTAGCTTAAAAAAAAAAAAAAAATCAGCCACTCCCATGTTAGGAAATACCGAGATCAAAGCATTTCCTCAGCTGGCGGTTGTGTCCCTGTGTTGCCCCCAAGCCTGTAACACAGCCGTGCTGTTCTTCCCCGCAGGCCCCAGGGGCGGAGGAAGGAGGCTGCAGGCAGGGAGGGAGCCCTGCACTGCCCCTCCTTCCCTGTCAGGGAGCAAACACCCCGCCTGTGCTGCACAGGGTTGCTTGGGAAGGAGCTGCTGTCCGGCCTTTGGAGACTGCTCCTCGAGTCTCGCATCCTTCCGCAGCTACAAGGAATGATGCCACCTGACCAAAGATCCCTCTGACTCAGACTCCAGCCGGAGGCTGCCCAGGGGAGGGTGTAAGGCAGCAGTACGAGCAGCTGGGAACTTCCTACACTGAGCTTTGCAGCTTTTTTATCTAGAAATTTAGCTGCTTCAAGTGACACCTCACAACACGCTACTCACAAATCTTCATTAGCCCTTTCAGTAACTGGGGAACTGAAGCAGAGGTTGAAATCAGAAGCAGCCCAGAGTTTTAAGATGGATGCTGTCAGCTGTCCCGTGTCATTTTTTTCCAGGTTACACAGCCATGTAACACTCAGTCAGAACATTCCCCCCGCCACTTGCTGGCAGAGGAAACGAGGCAGGACAGCTCATACCAGTGACTAAAACCCCAGGGATGACAGCACTAGAAACTGAGCTAGCCCTAAGGGACTAGCCCAATTTACTGAGCAAAATCACAGTTTACAGGATTGACTGTTTATCCCACTCCCCTTTGCACGCCTTTGCTCTGTTCTCCATCTACCTTCCCGTATCTGCAAACACAGCACAGATGTGCTACAGCTATCCTCACACTGACTGGTTCACGCTGGCTCACATGGTGCTCGGGGAGTACCTTTTACCTCAGCTGAGGAAGGAGCAGTGCTGCAATTTTAATTTGAATTCAAGACTTTTAATTACTCAACGTGCTGCACGCCTTTCGGAGGCACATCTTCTAGCAGGTCAACAGGAGCCATCATTCACCAGTTCACATCCAAGAACAGAAAGGCAGGAAGATGAGAAGGCATGAATGAAAATTTCACTTTACACAGTCTTTCCTTCTAGGAGGAAAAAGAAAGGATGTCATCTAATTTTGCAAAACCAGCAACTGCACACACAGTCTGCTTGTATATATCCTGGGGAAAGGGAAGTGAGAAAAAAGCAGAAATCTTTCCCTCTGCTGACCTTCCAGATTTTTCAATTTTATTCTAAACCTTTTTGAGAAGAAACAGTGTCAAAAGTCATTAAGAAAATGCAAGAACATTAGGACAATCTTTTGAAAATACTGAAGCTGAGGGAGGCAAATACAGCTTTCTCAGTGCTGACAAAAAATTCAGCACAGATGACAAAACTGTTTGAAAGTACAGAAGTACATTTCTGACCTAAACATCAAGCTGTAGCTTAATCCCAGTATTGCGAAACTAACAGCCAAGGTTTGTGACTCAGTGCTCACAACTATTCAAGAATACATTTACATAAATTAAAGGGTAGACTGTTCAGGACTTTAATGACATAAGCATGCTATGAGTCCAGTTTCTTAAGTGCAAAATTGTATTTCATTTGTTTTACACAAACATCAGATTACAAGATCTAACACAACACCAAGATTTTCAACTTAAACATTTCCAAAACAGAAAACAAAATAAGCATTCAATATTTAGTCTGTAACTGAACTTCTCTGCTTTTTGTGGTTGTCTCTAACACACATATTACCTTAATGATATACTGTAAGGGTTTTTGTTAGCACGTTCAGGTTTTTCCTGGTGAAAGACTTCCACTGCAGTGGACTTTAAAGGAGGTTCTGAATGGAATTTTCAGCATAACTTTGCATTTCTGCTATTCCAACCATTGTAAAAGTCCCAAAACAGAAGCAGCAATACTAAAGAACCATTAAGAAAAAACATTAATGGGCAAATTGCAAAAAAAAAAAAAAACTGCAGAGCACTTGCAGGTAAACAAAGGCAATTGCAGTATTTTTCTCGTAAGTTTAAAAAAAAAAAAAAACAGAAAGCACACTCTTCAGTGTTCAGAATTTAAACTGCAGAGTGTTTAAAGTAGAACTTTACACCCCTGAAAATAGGGGATTATTCTGAAGCACTTTTATTTACTGACTGTAATTACTAGTCATTTTATACATAGATGCCACATTCCTTAGATTTCCTTAGTATACAACACCTAACAAAAGGACAACCCTTTTTCAAACCAATATTGCTTGCACATAGTAATTGATGAGCTCTACCAGTTCCAGAATAGCAAACATCTAATTATTTAACAATATAAATATTGATTACTAAAGTTTTAATTGTAAGTATAAAATCTCTATGTAAAACCACATGCTACAGCCTATCTGTACAAAGGCCAGGAAAAAGGTTATGTTTTCTTATAACAAAGTGCTATTGCAGAATTGACTGATTTGTTGTGGACATTTCTGAAGAAATACAGATCATTTGGCTCAGAGTATTTCTCTACAAAGAATCTAAGTTCTTCTCAGAAGATTACAAGGCAGTTAGTTTCAGGCTGCTCAATGAAAAAAAATAATCTCTTGAATTATGGCTATGCAACCAAACAAGTAGGTAGATTTTAATTTTCTCTACACTATTTCCCAGTTTTCACTATTACTTCAAAAGTTTCCATCTACATTGTCTAGAAACAGCACCACCAGATAGTACCTGTTCTACAGCTCAAGCAGTTTGAGAGGTTGATGCTCTACCTGTTACCTGGCTATTTGAATGTTTCTAGTTCCTTAGGCTTTACCTAATCTGATTTTCTGTCAATTAGATCAGGAATTAACAGCTAGGCATCTTCTCAGCAGAGAACGTCAACAACTTCCTAAATGACTCCAGCTGTAAAGCTGCACCTCTCTGTGACACCCACCTAGGAAGCCCCCGAAGTCCTCTTTTCCCTCCAATCAGAGGCATGGGACCGAGTGAAAGGGGGAAAAACCTCTAAGGCAAAAGAGTCCCAAATTGGTGCTCAACTCCCACTTGAACTTTAAAATACCTCTTCCTTTATATACTAAAGACTACCATGTCAGATTTTCCCAGACATCCTTTTTTACACCTAGACACTTTTAAGTAGAAAGAAGAGAACTTGTCCATATACGTGGGATTACCAGGTATTGGGCAGTCCAGAGCAAGAGCAGTATCTGACAGGCTGACATACCTGGAAGCCCAGAATGAGGACTCAGACCACCTGTGCATTCAGTGTATCCCTATGCAAAGACCAGCACATCCAAACTGCACTGGTTTTACAGCCTGTACACTGCAGCCCACGTTCCAGACCCCAGGAAGACAAGTCAGAGCAAGAACAGAGCTGTTCAATACCTGGAACCTGCAGGACAAACAGCCACTGTAATTATGTCTGGCACAGCCCAGCCACACGGGCCCACGCTACTTGTATATACACTCACGTTGTGATATGAAATACAGGAGCCATATATACAAAGTTATAGTTGGGGAAAGACAATGACACCAGGAATGTTTCCAAATATGTCTCCATATGTTCCCGGTCAAGCTCCAATATTCTGCATTATATCACGGTAAATATGACATTCACTTACATCTTTAATTTTTCCATATAAAGGATCAAGTATACCTATCTGTACAGCAAAGACAGTATTTTTTAATTGGTCCATAACACTGCAGTGCATCAAAATTAGATTTTGAGCATTTGTTCAGCAGCTGCTAAATGAAAAAGGAAGTTTTCTGTAGCTGGTGGAAATCGCTTTTGTTTCAGGGCTTCAGAGTTAAGGGTTGGTTTTTCATTGCCATCGGAAACTTCAGTAAGGGAGGCTAAGGTAGCCAAGATTTCTTTTGTCTTCAGAGAAATATCCTTGAAAAACAGAAAAACAAGCAACCATTAATATATTATTAGGTATTATGTTTTAACATGCGCTTATTAAAAAAGAAAAATCAATACAGAACAGAAAGAAAATAATGATAAATAAATAGTTAAATTTAAATAAAGACTCCATTTATTTTAAGGCAAACTTGCACCAGATCTTCAGCCTGATATTGTGCAATGCTGAATAAAGGGAGCATAGTCACTCCACAGGCTCCTCTCAGTGGCTTGAGCTCTTCTGACTAAGTTGCCTAGTTGTAAAATGTCTAATAATCTACTAGATAGGGGAGGAAGTGAAAAAAAAAAATCATCATAAAAATCAGGCTTTATAGCTGAGAAGCTGTAACTCAGCAGAACTTTTTCAAAGGTACTGACAAGGTATTGAGCAAAATACATGCTTTGTAGAATAAAACCGGAAAACTAGCTTTACTGGAAGTCTTATAATCAATACAATTTCTGAAGTTTCTTCAGCAATGTGGTTACCCAAGAGATAATATAAACCAAGTATGTCATCCTTAAAAACCTGTATGAAGAAAAAAAAAATGCCGATTTGTAATAAGGAAGAGGGTAGAAGAGATTGATTCTCAGAAACAATCTTCCTCCTACTCCCCTCCTTCCTCCAAGATTTAGCAATAGAAGTAATTTAATTAGATTTAAAAATAAAAGTATTAACCTTAATGACTTGGCTGTCTGATTTATCTGGATCTTCTGCAGATTGAACAATTAGTTGTCCAATTTCTTTGTGAAGTTTTCCCATTGTCATTGCCTCTGAGTAAGGAAGAAAAAAACCAAACCACACATTCACACAAAATAAAGATTTTCTGTGATATTTAGAAATGCATATGAATAACAAGCCAAATCAAGGAGTCCTCTTCATAACTGCCATTTGAAATCCATCAGTAAAGGCAGTAACCTGACGTATTAACACCCATATCAGCATAGGCAAATTGTCCACCCCTAAAGCAGCTGGCAAGGAGCAGCAAGATGACAAGCATCACACAAGGTTTCCTTTCAAATAGTCCCCAGTCTCCAAGTATTTAATGCAGTGTTTTTCTAAGACTCATGTGGTATCTCTGCATTCAGCTGAATGTCTCTTCCATGTAATTGTCTAACACGGATGTTTTGAAAACTCAGTTGTACATTTGTTGGATGATGAAACAAGTCTTTCCAAATTCCAACTTTCACCAGTCTTCCAGAGTCTCAATAAAACTGAAAGACAGAAGCTTACATACTGACTTTCCAGAATCTGGAAGGAAGAAGGATCGAGATTGCTTGACCTATAGTGAGGTTCAGCAATTACTATCAACTCTGAAATAAATGGCCTCTAAATCCAAAATATAAAAATCAACCAACCTTTTACTACAGGGGAAATAGTGATCTCACTATCTGCCAAATTCACATACACATCATACAGGTCTGGTCTACTGTTCACTTCAGAATCTGTAAATCCAGCAATGTAACCTAGAGAGAAGAATTTTGGCAAGATTATAGGATCTTCACAAACAAAACCAAAATAAAATCAAGATATTGCAGAAAAATCAGAGTCCTAAATCTGTTCTAAGAGTATTTGACATAATACTCATTGGACCTAGGAGGTTGCTCCCTTGATATTATCAGTCATTTAAACAAACACATCCACCAGAATGTTACGCTTCTGAGGAGCTTACAAATCAACTCCTAAAATTGCTTTGAACATGGATGAACAGCTAACACTACATGCAATATAAAAATATTGATTTGAAATTTTAAACTCTTCCTACCTTGCTACTAAAATTATTCATTTGCAAATGAAAAAGCCAGTGAACTTCCTCTTTAAAATAACCTCCACTCTGGAGCCACTTGTCACTAAGTCAGTATTAAATAAGAACAGAGAAATAAACCCAGATTTTCTTATTTCTAGCATGCCAGGTGAGCCAACTTAGAGCAGCTTTTCTCTGTAGAAGACGTTTAGTGAGCTGAAATAAGCACTGTTGGTAATGTAATATAAATATTGAAGATGAGTTGTCTTCTTGCTCAATATTTTGTATAGAAAAGCCTCTTAAATTACCACGTCATGCTAACCTCTACGTAAACCAAGGGACTCTTCCTGGATTCTGTGTTAAGTACTATGCGTACACAGTAATGTGTCACACAGCTCAAACTCCTACAGAGCTGGTAAAAAATCTATGTATGATTAGGAGCCAGAGACTTCACTGATAGCAGTCAGAATAAAAATTTGGAACTTCAGAGTTAGGGGAAAAAAAAAAAAAATCTTAAGAATTCAGTTACTAGCTATTTGTAGAAGTTGGGAAAAAAAAGTAGCTTATCTAATGTTAACTGCTTCTCTGCAACAGTAAGGCTTTTAATCCCTCTGATCACAACATCAAATAAGTCTCAAAAGCTGCTTTGCATCTGTGATTAGGGGCAGACTGACACAGATCCAGCCAGAAACACCAGATTAACTAGTTATCTTCTAACATACTTGATTAGTTGATTTGCCTTTTCTAAAGAAAATTATGCTGTTTAACTTTGAACAATAGCATTAATAGCAAAGTAACCATTTTTTCCCCCCCAAAAAGCACTGGTGCAAGACCTTGCAGCAACAGAAACTTAAATTTTCTTTATATTTTTGATTAATAAATTATCGCTACCTGTACAGGCTTTTAAGGCTTCCACTTCCTCCTCATTTAGATGTACATATGAATGAAGAATTGACCAGTCTTGTCGATGCCACACTAAAGCAGGCAAAGTCCTAGGGAAATTAGATCAGTACTTGACACACAGTAGATTTTCATTTACACTAATTAAAGTTTCACAGTATGAAATGCATGTCATAAGAAAGAACTAGTATGACTAGGTCTCATTTGGCATGCATATACATAAACTACAGAGACTTCTACTATCAGTGTAAGCAGAGTTTACCACTCATTCTACAGTTAAATTTTCTCAAGTTGATGAACGTTCCGCTAAAGCCTTAAGAGGGATTTAGCAGGATTTCAATAAACAGGTTTAAGAAAGATTTTTTTCCTCTAAAATATGGGCATTTCTCTCAATGAAGGTTCAAAATTTGTTGAACTTTTTTGGGTGAGTGAGGAGGTAGAGATTGACAAAATACCTGGTAAACTCCTGGATAGCTTCTATCCTAGGATGGTACACTACAATTCTCTTCTTTAACATCAGTGCTGTATATAAAATAACTGTTTCCATTCCAAACTGAGATACTATATCTAGAAAAGGAGGGGAAAATTATTTTATAGAAGATATACATGCTGGTATTACAAATTGTTTTTTGGATAACCGCCGTAAGAACAGCAGATAATACTGTTAACACTTTTTACTAGATTGTATTTTATATTGTAAAAAATAAATCCGAATAGACTTCTGGTATTAATTAACCTTTGATGGAACCAGCAAGATAAGCCTTCCGAGCATCAAAATCCTTGCTGAGGAAAGATCCATTCTCTTCACTTTGGCAGATCCCCTTCGTAAGGACTGCAATGTAACTCTCCATCATTTTAACTGGACTTCCATGCTTCAAGTAGATTCTGTGTGAAAGGAAAAAAGTCTGGTACTTTGACTGCAATTAGTACCAGCAGACATATGAAAAAATAAAATCACAGTATCACAAATAGCAATATTATTGGCAAGAATTCTTATTTTGCACAGCTGGTTAAGGTTTCAGGTACTAAACTAGAAGTCTTTCAACATGCACACAAAAACATGTCTGTCAGGATAAAAAACCACCTTGTATTTTTATTTGAGTTTCCCACTTTATGAAAGAACCAACGTTTACCAACATAGAAACATGGTATGAAGGTATAAGCAGGTGTCCAGACTAAGGATTCTTTGAAGACTTGGAATGTACCTGCTTTATGAAAAAGCAATTACTACAGCAACTCCTGTTACTACATGCAGACCATGTGACCAGTTGTTCATTTCTTATCCAAGTATCATTACACATTCTTCTGTACTCCTTGTTTATATTTTAATTTCATCATTTAACATGTCCTTGATACTAATTTTTTTTTAAAAAAAAAGAACACCACAAAACAACCACACATCAGCAAAATCCACATACTTTTAGCTGTCTTCCAGGCAGCAGAGAAACACCATAACCTATTTTATAGGTTAAGGTACTTCAGAAATAGCACCTCAGAAGCTCTCAACTGTTTTCCATATTAGCTACAGTACAAAGCTATGTCACATTTGAAACTCAATTATCATGATTAGAGGAATCAATCCTGGATGTGAGAAGAAATACTAGCTGATAAATCAGCATTAATGTGATCCACAGTGAAGCTAGTATTTCGTTTATCAGTGAAAAAGAACAACCCTAGTTTTATAATACCCTGCAGAACTGGTAAGCCTGGCAGCATTCTTATGTCCATGATACAATAACCTCACAATCGCATCCAACCAGCTGCAAAATCTCAATGAATACTCCTGGTATCAAGAACCAGGATTCAACTAATTTGGGAACAGAAAGAAAAGCAAAGAACGATGCAGAGGGAGGTCACAAGAATGGGGATGTGGAGGAAAGCGAGTAAGCAGGACAAGGGAAAGAAGATGGCAGTCTGGCTGGAAGAAGGGAGAAAACAGAGCCACAGACCTTGAGAGGCAGAGGGCTCGTTTTCCTAGAGGAAAAGCAGAAATGTCTCTGGGTGCTGTGTTTGGTTCAGAGGAGCTGCAAGAAGTGTCTTTATTAGAGATATTGTAGAGGGATGCAAGTTGTCCACCATACACGCAGTGAACTTTGACTATACAGCACTGACCTCTTCCCAAATGTTTCTATTTTTAAAAAATATATTCTTAGAGAAAGTGAATGGGTTGGTGGGTGGTGGTGGTGTGTGTCTGGGGGAAGACACATTAGAACTTACTGGGCATCTGACATTCACCCAACACTTACTGCATGAACTCAAGATAAACTCAAATCAAGGATTTATATAATCTGAGTTTGTACGACTGAGCTTCCAGCAGATTGTTAGACGATATGTAAACACAACACAATGAAATTTAATCTTTTGCCTTGGCAAGATCTAAACATGCACACTGGAGTAACTCATAACAGCTTTTATACAGACCTACACAGTATCCTAGTGAAGGCTGCATATTTCTCTGGGTTGAAGTCTTTGGCCATCAGAACAATGGAGAAGTGGGTCACCTGAGTAAGACAGAAGCACAGAAAAATACACACCTTATTCAGTGGTCCCATACAAGCAGTCTTTTTCACGTTATTAAACTTACTTCAGTGCCTTGACAAGGTGTTTCAATTTAAAAAAAAAAAAAAAAAAGTGAGCAGTAACAGCAGATCCAAGTTACTAACTGCAGAAAATGTTTGGTTAACAGATTCCTGATGTGACTCATTTCCACTGAGTCAGCTCTAGTACATACTCTTTCACTTAATCTACTCTTACAGAGTTGCTTTCCTTTTATCTCAGGAGATTATTTTAAATGAGAGAAAGGCATTTTTTTTTCACCATAGCAGGTTGAAAACTTCCAGAATCTGTTGCCAAAGTAGGCAGTGGAGGCAGACAGCGTCAACATATTTAAAAAGAGACCAGAAAAAAATTCATGGATAGCAGGCCCACAAACAGAAATACTCTTTAACTTCCTTAATCGAATGCTTGTGGGCTGAGACAGTATGAGGCTAAAATTCTGCAGACAATGGCAGGCTTACCTGTCTTCCTTAAACAGCATCTCCCACTTCCACTGTCTGAGACAGCACTGGGACACATTATTTTATTTTAGTTACGCCTTTAAGGTTCATAGGAGATGTATGCTTAGAGTGTGGAAAAGCAAGCAACGTTCTGCTGTGGGCATGAAAAATTACCACATTATCTTTCTACCTAACAATATAGCATGAAATATGAAAATTGAATAAACTTAACAGGCAATTTAATGAACTACATAACAGGGAAAGTATAGCAGATACAAACATTTGCAGTCTTCCAGTTATCAATGCAGTGGAGAAGAAACAACCTATATAACACAACTGTTTGGGGGGGAAAAAAAAACCATCAAGTTCTATATGAACAAGATTTTGGACACTATGAAAAACCCTTTGTAGAACTGTTTTGACCGAAAAAAAAAAAAAAAAACCAAACAAACAAACCAACAAAAAATTGTTGAGCTTGAAATGAAAAGTAACTAAGAATAATGGCATGAAACAGCATTTCCATTTTAATACAAATAATCTAAATTAGGTGATGAGAATCTCAATCCCTCTGCAATTCTATTCAATATATGTCTTGGTGAAAAACAGACTGGTTACACAGCTGAGCAAGATCTGCATCTGTGAGCACACAAAACCTCAAATCCCTTCCCTTCTTCATATCATACAATGGGAAAACACTGATTAAACTGCCAGCGGAAGCTCTGTAGAAGCTTTCCCCGCACTCTACTGAAAAAACAGCCCTCCAAGTCGTACCTTTTTCAAGGCTGGAGAATCTTGAACTTCCACAGTTGTGATGTAGAACCATGACCTTTTATATTGGCCAAATACAAATGTATGAAGCAATTTATTTTCATCTGTGAGGCAGCACTTTCGCAGCAATAGTTTCCTCAGTTCAGCTGTTATGGACGGATAACACCAAACCCACAAAGCATCTCCGTTGGTGTCTTTTTCTATGGTGGAAAGATGTTCACTGTGAGAATGCCAAACAGCAGCAAGGAAGTAAATCGATGGGTTGATCAGGTTTGTTTCCTGGAATCAGATTAAAATTCCACCTTACCCTTACCCTAAACATCCAGTTCTGCCACTACAGTTTAAGATGTAGGGCAGTGCTTGTGCTACGGGTCTTATTCTTTAGGTGTTAATAAATATCCACTCTTGACCTGATCCACAAGGTCCAAAAAACACCAGAAGTTTGAATACACATTCATATGGGCAAGGCATTGACCGGCAAGCACCCAGACCAGTTTATTTAAGATTTCCCCTGCCTTTCCTACTTCTGACTTTAGAACAGAGCCCTCAGAAGCCGTAAAGCCAAGACGCTTTGCCGGAGTTGTACACGGTTTAGCTCTGCAGACCAACGCGCCGGCCTCAGCGCCCGCAGGCTGGCAAGCGCTCGGCCGGGACAGGCCCTGCGGCCGCAAGCACACACCCCACACCCCCCCCCCCCCCACACACACACACACTTCTCCTCTCCTCTCCCCGCCAGCCCCAAGCCCCGGCCCGACTCTCCCCACACCCCACAGCCGGGAGGGCCCTTACCGATCAGCCCCACCGCCAGCAACGGTTGCGCCTCCGGCTCTGCCATCTTTCCCCGCCGCCTTCCGCCCGGCGCGCGCCCCGCCCCTCACGGCCCGCCGGCCGCCATTTGCTGCGCCGGCTCGGGCGGGCGGCGCCGCCGGCTGCCGCCCTCACACCCGCTGCGGCCTACCCGCCCGTTCCTCGGTTAAAAAAAAAAACAACAACAAACCCAACACTTTTGAAAAAATATATATATATTTTTTTCCCCATTTCCTTTATTATTATTTCGCTTTGTTAGTCACAGGGCACAGTTGATGTGAAATTGGACACAAAAGGAGGCAGCCCTGCAGGCAACCGCCTCCCATAGTCACAGCCAGAAGCTGCACCCCTGGACAAAGCCTGAAACACCGGCAGCCCCAGCGCTGCTACAGAGCGTGCATCAAGGCTGGCTTCTGCCTGGAAGGCAGCCTGAGTGCAGTGAAGAATATTCATAAAGCATAACAGCTGTTCCTGAGGAACTCCGTGCATCAACAAGTTTATCTGAGAATTTTTTTCATTCTCAAGTTTGGATGAACAGTGGTACCTGAATAGCACATATGGAAGTCGTAGTGCGCAAACTGCACTAATTGCACAGAGCGGCCACTGATTAAGCAGAAGAAACTGTGATTAGGAAGAAAAAGCTTCCAAAATACGTGGTGTAACTACAGGAGCATCAGAAGCTGCTAAAGAAAATGTGCAGTCCTAGGAAAGAGGCCTGTCAAGGATCACGCTTGGCTAGGGAACACGCTACAGGGCAGCCTTTCATATGATTTTCATAAAGGCATAAAGTTAAAGAACACACATTTAGTATACTTAGCTACTGTGTAGAAAGACATGAGGAGTCAGACCGTAAGAGCTGCTTCTGACACAACATTGTCTGATTCAAGCCTGGAGGGCTTTCAGGAATTTCAGAGATTCGAAAAAGCAGAGTGGGCTCCTGAATAGCAAGTCCTGCTATAAACCATCAGTAAATACGAGGCAGCACAGCTGCAGTCCCCCGCCAGAGCGGATGCCCCCCAGAGAAGGCTGCAAGCCCGGAGGGTAGGCACTGGCTCTGGCCACACTGCCCAAGCAGCCTGCAGGTGCTGGGGAGCTTGCCACCCAGACCTGGGTGGTGACTCCGGCACTCATCTTTTAAATTGATTTTATGGAGACAAGAAGAGGACTTGTTCAGCACTATGAATAGCTTAATGAAGACTCTACTGAATGTATCACCGTGGTTTGAAACAGAAACAACTAGGCTGCCAGAGACAGTTCAGAACGCAGATCGTACTAAAATACCGTCATATAAATCAATAGCGTGGCCTGATGGAGAACACTGTGTATGGTACCCGTCACCGGATCTCAGAGGTATCAAGGACACAAGGACATGGAGAAACTCCTAAGTGAAGAGAGCCTAAAAGGTGAAGTTGCATTTTTTCCCCTTTTTTTTACTCTAGAATGGAGGCTCATGCAATACAGTAGAAAGGGATTGGGGTTACATGGATACGCTGTATGGATAGCTTAATGCTAAAGCTTCCATACAGTGACTATGTTTCTGTTTAGCAATAAACTGTGATTACAAGCCAACATTAAATTTTTTAATGTGTTGTATAATGGTTACGAAGCTTTCTAGCGGCCATGAAGATGGTTAATGTGAGCAGTATACAAAAAAAGACCAAGCAACAAGTATGCAGAAAGAAATGTATCAAAACAGAAATCCAAGACAGCAACAGGCTGTCTTTAGCCATCATAAACAGACTTCCTCTCCATCTACCTGCATATTTTTTGAAAAATCATGCTTAGATATACTTAAGAAATCAGGTCTGCAGAGGGTCACAGCTACAGTCGTGATGTTATGAATGATCCAGCTGCAGAGGTGCACATTTCTGCTGAAAGACTGAAAAGCAGTGCTTAGTGCTTACATGGAGCTGCACTATTCCAGTGTTTAGTCATCCAAAATATCCCATTAGTCACACATTCACTTGCTGCTGTTCTACTGCTTCTGTTGCTGCTGTTATGGGGCTTTTGTGTCCAATTCACACATCTTTGTACAGCTTCCACTGTCACTCCGTACACCGATAGAAATTTTCAGATCAGTAGTTTTCAGAAATTCACGCTTGGCATTAGTGGTTATCACATGTACACTCATATGAATATTGCCATTACTATTGCTCTTGAGAAAACTGCTGAGTTCCTCTGATATAGTTTCCCAAATTTTTAAGATTAAGAATGAAATCTGCAGCTGATGACGACTAAGCGCACCCAGAAGGGCCTTTCTGCGAGTTAGCTGCACACAAGTAGTTTCTGAAGCGGCTGCACAAGCTGTCAAGAGCAAAGACTCAGCATACACGATGCCTCCTTTGCCAAAACGTGTCCAATCGAGCCAAAGGCTTAAGGCTAACTTGGCCACACGGTTTGGCGGAGCTCCAGAGGCCGGCTGGGGCCTGCCCCGAGCTGAGGGCTGCGCGGGCGCTGGCTCCGCCCCGGCCTCCGGACAAAGCCGCCAGTGACCAGCCCCCGCCCCTGGGGCGAACCGAACAGCGCCCCTGCGCTGCAGCCGGGGCCGCTCGGGGCACTAACAGCGGAACCCGGGCCCGCCGCCCCGCCCCGCTTCCGCCGGCGTCAGCGCGCGCGGGGGACGGCCCGCCCGCCCTTTCCGGCTCCGCAGGCTGCCTGGCTGGAGCACGGAGCGAGCTGCTGCTGCTGCTGCCGCCGCCGCCGCCCTGTGAGGAGAGGCCGCCGCCATCATGCCGGTGTACTTCCAGCGGCCCGAGAACGCCCTGAAGCGGGCGAATGGTCAGTGTCGGCCGCTCCCCCTCCCCGCCGGTTCGCCTCCTGCCCCCCCCCCCCGCCCCCCCCGTTCCGCGCCGTGGTGGGCAGCGTGCGCCGCTCCTCTCCCCGCGGCCGTCCTGAGGGACCCCTGGGCGCGGCGCGGTGCGGGGCCTCGGCCGGCGGCTCCCCGGCGCTGAGGAAGGGGTCTCCCGGGAGGAAATAGCCGAGGAAATGGCCGAGGCCTGACGGCAGCGGCCGCGCCGCATGGCGGAGGCGAGGCCGCGGGGAGCGGGCCCAGCCCGGCTCCGCCTCCCGCTCCCCGGCGGGGCCCCCGGCCGCCCGCGGGTGGAAGCGGTGGGCAGGCTCTGGGCGAAGCGGGGGTGGGGGCATGTTCTGCCCAGGGCCCCGCGGCCCCTCAGTCTGCGGCCCGGCGCCCGCCGGAGCCGCGGTGGAGCCGGCGCCGTGCCCGCCGCCGGGAAGGGGCTCTGGGCCGACCCGGGGCTTGGTGTGAGGCGTCCGGCCCGGAACTCTCACCTGCTCCGGAATGATTTCAAAACCAGTCTGATGCTAGGCCCTGTGGGCTTCATATTTAGTAGTCCCATCCTTCATGCGACTCTGGTGAGAATGCAAATGATTAAACTCTTTAAATGCTGCCCAGGCTGATGCATAAGCTTTTCTGTGGAATAGCAACCAAGGAGGACTGTGCTGTAGCTGTCTCTCGCTGACTGCCGCACGTAAAGCTGGACTGGTTGTATTTACCAGCTGTCTTCTTTCAAGCTAAATATATGGCTTTGACGCTTCTTTTTTTATAGTATGCTATTTAAAGCACTTAGCAAAACCATTTAGACCCTTCATTGTCACAGGTCTGATTGCAGGATGACACTTAGAGACATCCAGAAATTACAGATGATGTACTAGTCTTGAAATGACAGTTGAAGGGGCTGCGTAGTCTGTGGGGCTATACGTAATTCAAGTACTTGGTGTTTTAACAAGAAAATAAAAATCAAGTACTGCACGTCTTCAATATTTCTAATCATTGCAAAAATCATTTCCTTAGAGATAAACAGATGAAAGATAAAATAGTCAACTTCCAATAAGATGAAGTTGTATTTTAACACTCGTTTTACTGGAAAAGATGCACATACCATAGTATATAAACTTTAAGCTTCAGAATTGTTAGGCAGAGTAGGTTATACTTACTTGGTGAGCAAGTCACAGTGCTGCAATACTGACCTTAAACTGCTTAAAGCTGACATTTTATTGTTGCTTTCCTGATATTGAAGAGCAGCTTTAAATTCACATCTCTTGCACTGCTGCAAGTCTGAATTCTGATGAGCTGAAGGACCGGGACTGAAGGGAGTGTTCTCTAGACAAATGCCAACAATCCTGGCTCTCAGTAGACTGAATGGAAAACATGACAAGCAATGTCAAGTCTTGCAAACTGCTGGGGCTTGATTTCACCATAGCCAAGTATAATGAAGAGTGAAAATTTGTACCTGAGGCAGATTGTATGTTGCAGGAAGCAGTTTAATGTTAAACTGACATTTCAAATTGAAACATTCAGTGCAGTTTCCAGAGTCTCAGCATTTGTGTTTTATACGTAAAGCTTAAGTGAGCATTTAGGAGCACTTAATGCTTCAGGTTCTCAGTGACTTCAACATACATAGATGATATTTGGAAATAAGAAGAGCTTGAATGATTGTAAATATGTGCATTTACGTAGGAACGGCTGTTTTTCCTTATACATGATAAATGTAGGTCAAAAATAGAAAAAAAATAATTCTGACAGTTATTGAGAGTCTAAGGCTTTACATTTTGTCTGTTACTAATCTTTGTTTCCATAACTTACAGTTTCTACTGGAAGGCGTGGTGATGTGTACTGTATTTGACTCTTCAGGTTCACTTTGTGTGTGCTTTTACTACCGTGTCTGTTAAATTAGCCTTAATTATTTGACTTGCTTGTAAGAACTTGCTTGACCAGAGTTAATTAAAAGTTTCAAGACAATATGAATTAATTTTGTGCTTTGTCCAGTTGGTTATCGACCACTGAGACTTGTAGTTGGAGTGGCCTGGCGTTGTTGCAAGATTAAACTTGCCTTTCAAGTTTATTTTCATAAATAAAAAACTGTAAAGCTGAGCAATAATTATCTCAAAAGCGGCACTGAGATAGAATAACAGTGTAAATTATGGGATGGAGGATAGCTTTATTAAAATTCCCTTGGTGAGTAAAAAATACTGCTGAATACTGTCACACTATAACCTTAATTATCTTTAGATGTAACACTG